CGAAACAAACATTTCCTAGTTTCTGAAACAATACAGAGATACCTGATAGTTCCAAGGAAGAAGAGATAGCTGCATGTCTCACTTGTGCACATAAGCAACAGCGGGGAGAAGCAAAAGAGAATAAATCACAAAATATCTGTTGCATCATTGTGATGCAAATTCCAACCTTTTGGTGAGCCTGCCCCACACAAATATGTAAGGAGTGGAGTTTACATAATGACATTGCAATCCATGTTTCTTCATTCTGACAAGATTGTGGCTTCCTCCGAAGACCTCTGCTTGTGCACTAATGTTTTTTTTTAGAGGAATAGTTATTTGTATGTATGCAGTGATGAAATGAATACTTTCTTCTTCTATAACGTTCGTGCATTTGAGAACAAAGGAGAATCTCTGTAAATGTTATCCAGAAAGCAGAAAAAAATGAATGCACATATTTTCCCTTAATTCTTCTCTGTAATATGTCAGGTAGCTCACATTTTCTCTCCCTGCTGTGGTTTTTTAGATCAGCCTTGCAACTTTGATAGCCTCAAAAGTCTCCCCAGGGTTGTTTACCTTCAAATGGCTTATTTTGGTCCTTATAATGGATCTGCATTTTGCAAACTTAAACATATACTGTAGGCCAAATAATAGGAATAACAATATATCCTATCATACTTTATATTATCTAAACACAAATTCCTAAATGATATTTTCCTTAGCTGTTTAGGCACATTGGATTATAGTTTTACTCTTATTATTCCAAATCCGATACCTATTATTACATTTAACATGTAACATGTATTGCTCAATTTAAGATCCAGCTCAATAGTTCTTAACCTGCTGTCCAGATGTGTTGAACTAAAACTTCCAGCCATGGACTCAGTTGATGTAATGAGTGATCCTAAGGTTTCTAAAATGTTTAAGGATTGTTCAGGGCTGCCAATAGTTTGTTTCCCCTTCAACCCACCTCTTCTCCTTTTCTATTCACCATTTCCTATTGGACCTCCAATAACCTTATGTAGTTTGTTTTAAATTAAAAAAGAAGTGAAGAAATTCTTCTTTAGACTTGGCAGAATCTACTGGGACCTTTTTACTCACCTCATTGAAACAGCTGGATCCTTTGTGCTGAATAAATGTTGCTGATATTGCTGATATTGATTTCTGAAATTCTGAATTTCTGAAAAAATATTGCATCTGGGAGAGGCCAATATTAATCAAGAAAACAATACGCAGAAAACCAATTCATTCCCCTTTCCCACTGAACAAATTGACTTCTTCTCCCAATTGCATTTTAGTTTTAAAAAGAAGAAAAGCAAAGCAGAAGAGCCTCTTGCATAAGATGTAAGCACTGAAACAAAAAATCTATTTTTAAAAAATACAGATAGGAACATTGCTCAAGACCCTGCTTTAGTCTAAGCAAATTCAGCAGAAAGAACTGAGACAGGTAGAAAGAGGAGGAAGGAAAGAAATTTGGAAATGGAAGGCAGCAAAGGGTGGTTCTAATGCAGATGCTACAGGACAGCTCAAGTGGGAGATGTAATGAATAAAGCTGCAAGATGGAAAGTAGAAACTCTTGTGAAATTTGTGGACTTAAGGCACCACTGAGGAGAAAAAACAATTTTTCCCCAACCATCATTGGGTGATGGCTTTATTAAGAAACGGACACTTAACAAATGGAACATTGAAGGATCAAATATTTGTATAGTACTATAGTTTAGAGCTCTAAGGTAGGAAGTCTTAGGGATCTGATTGGTTGGTTTGGGAAAGGTAGGTAGGTCCTTTGTTGATAGGGAGTAGCTGGGGCGAATTTTATTGTAAGGCAAAACAATGGGCATTTCAAGGGGGAGCAGAGCTGAGGCAATTCATTGTTAAGGAGATGGAATGTTGAGGTCTTCAACTGATTGAGGATGGGGTGTGTGTGCTGGGATTACTCTAGGTTGCAATTCCCTTGCAAGGGTTGGGCTCTTTAGATGGGATTGGGGGGGGCTTTCTCTGGAGCAGGAAGGATTAATTTGGGTCTGATGGGATTAGGCAAAGAAAAAAAACTTGCTTTGCCTTGTCATATCTAAAAGATGGGGTGGGAGAGGAATGCAGTCTCCATTTTGTTTATTTTTTTCCACTACAGGCATTACTCATTTAACAACCACAGTGGGGACTGGCAACTCAGTCATTAAGTGAAGCAAGCACTAAGTGATTATTATGATCTTCAACTTTCCTTTCCTTTACAAACCTCTGAAGGTCATAAATGTGAGGATTGGTTGTAAAGTGATTTTTTCCACCGGAGTTATAACTGCAAAATGAGTCAGTCACTAAACAAGGGCTACCTGTTCAGACACCAGAAGGGCATCTATGTTCTCCTCTTTTGTTCTGAGCTGCTGCCCTACATAGTCAGAAGAACATGAGGTACAATACCTCACCGCACAGGTGTCAGGAGGGGACTGCAAGGGTGGGATACTTTTATTGTGGTTCCTGATATGCTGGTTCTCCAAATGCAGGGAACCATATAATTAAATCCTTACCCTAAACCAGGGCTGTCAAACTCCCACCCATGGGCCAGATTCATCACGCACTGGCCACGCCCACGCCCTGTTTAGTAAAGGGGGGGGAAGTCCTGCTATGTCACGTGACACCACCATGACAAAATGAATTTGACACCCCTGCCCTAAACCTTAATCCTAACTCCTCCATTTTAAAGGGCTACAATCTCTTACAGCAGGGCCTGGAAAACTATATAGATCAGTAGTGAGGTCAGGCAGTTAGAGCTAAGTGGCTTTCTTTCTCTCTATTCCATTCAACTAATGACTTTGTATGCTTTATTCTGCCTATTAGAACAATCAGTTTTACATTAGGTTAGTCAATGTGATATTCCTTTCTTCTCTGAATCATGAACCTAGTTTCTGGGATGTCCCCTTCAAAAACAGCATGCTGTTTCAGACATTTCCAGCTGTGCTGTCACTTCCCACTCAGCATGTATGTCTTTTGTGTCATTAATTTACCCCTGAGATGACCTCCCTTGAAAGAGCAGCTGCAAAGGCTTCAGAGGGGCTTGATACTTGCTAGAGCTAAATTAGAGCCATCTATTAAAATTAAATTATCCCAGTAGGCCATAAATTAGGGATAAGGGAGTAAAACACCCTGCTGCAATTGTTCCCTTTTAAGACCTTCATCCAATCACAGGGGTGTTTTCAGTTCCTAACTGGGAGGGAGACCCCACCTAGACAATGGGCCAGAAGAATCTCAGTTTCCTTGTGGCCTGGCCATCTAAGTATTTTCTGGTTCAAAGTGCATGTTGCCCTTTTTTCTCTCCGTGTGTACAAATTAAATATTTTGCAAGATTAGCGCCTTGAACACAACTTTGGGGGCTGAAGAATTTTATATTTTTCCTGTCTATGGCAAAGTATTATCAGAGACCGTAGCAGCAGATTCCTAATGCATTGGCTGTATTACAAATAGCAATATGCAAATGAGTTGCCAAATTTCTGGCCTCAGAAGGAAGAGTGCCAGCCATGGCATGTAGTTCTTATGCCCCTGGGCTTCTCCCTTGGCTGACAGAAGCAAGGATGCTTCCTTGCAGAAAAGTTAAAATTCTACTACTGAGGCTAAGCAAGATGGGAAGAGATGCTCATTACTATGGTAATGCTGTCACAAGAAGGGTTTCTCCCCCCCACACATTTTTTCGTATATGTGGAATTAAGCTAGACCACAAACATTTATGATTGCGCATGTGTTACAGCACCTAATGTATTGTCTAATACTTCGCCTGTGAAGAGTTTTCACTTACAGTACACTATATCCTTCATCCTCCCATTTAAGCATGCTATAATGACATCCCATCCATATTTTCCTTACATCCAGTGGACTTATTTATCAACTCACGGAGCAACCAGTTCAATCATTTTCTTGGCACTATATCAATTACTTTAAATGCCAGATTAATTATTTTGCATTACAAAGCTTTCTGGACACTGTGATTGGGCTGCCTTTAATCTTTCTGCTGCTTACTGACCTTCCCTTTCTCCCATGCTGTGAGGTTAATTTTTATCTTGTCTGTTTTCTCATCTCCTCTTTGGTCTTTTGAAAGCCAGGATGCATGTCCTTCTTTAAAAGAAATGGACATAATGAGCCTCCAAGACAGAGCATGTGCGTCCAGTCTTTCCTCCTTTGGATATCTGTACAATTTTTCTCAAAAAATCATGTTTTTTTTTCTCCCAAAGTGGGGCCTTTGTTCAAAGCCTTTGCTCAATTAGTCAGCCAGTTGACTGGCAAAAAAATTGAAATTTACCCTCTGTGTTTTCTGAATGTGTTGCTTTTTAGCAATGTGCATATTGACAAAATGATGGGCATCGGACTGCACTGTGTATTCAGGCTGTGAAGTATACCTAGGCTGTATCTATACACATAACAATTACAAATCAGGGAAGTGCAGACGGGAGTCATCAGAGCTGTGGGAAGTGAGAGATAAGGTTACTCAGTGACCTGATAGTGTTAAGTCATCAGTATCCATAATTATGGCTGCATGGATAAAACCACATGATATATGGCAGGATTTCTGTCTTGCAGAGATTCCATGCCTGTCCAAGCTGGGAGACCATGAGATCGTTGACAAGCCTTGTTCTCTTCATAGATGAAAAAGCCAGGTTGGCTCTTTGCTTCTTCTGTGTCTCTGGATTTAAACTAGCCCATTTCTGGGAGCTGGTAGGAGAGCAGTGGGAGAAGAGAACGGCATCTTTCCTTTTCTTTCAAGCAGGATTCAAAGGATAGTGGATTTGTCAGAGACAAGTGGGTGTAAGAGAACAGGGATAAAGCAAGAGGGGATCTTTGATTCCCGAACTTGGCTTTGAGCCTGCAGGAAAAGAGAACTAAAACTCTGCAAGATATACCGTAGATTAGAGGCCTCCTACTGGGCTCTGTCTCAGCTGCATTCTCTCTGGCTTTATTTTTGCAAATATTTGGTCCTCCTCCCATCAATCTTTCCTGAACCTTCCTTTCTCATCTTCTCCCACTTGCTTATCTCCCTACAGATGGCACTCCCTTGAGTGAGCTCTCCTGGTCTTCCTCTCTGGTGGTGGTGGCCGTTTCCTTCTCAGGACTCTTCACCTTCATCTTCCTCATGTTGGCCTGTCTGTGCTGCAAGAAAGGGGGCATTGGCTTCAAGGTAAGTTCAGGGGGAGGTCCAAATCTCTCTGGCTGCCTATGGTATAGCAGTGCATAAGACAAAGTCTTCTGCCAAGTCCATGACATTAACACAGCTTTTGTCATCCTGGTAGCTTCTGGATACATAGCTGGGATTTCTGAAGTTTGTCATCTACTTAATCTAAAAGCCACCAGGCTGGGAAAGGTTACGATAACATGTCTTGTTGTTTGCAAGGAGAAGGAAATAATGCTCAATGGGATGACAAAGCTGGAACTTGCTTTTACCATTAAGTTCCTATCGGAATAGTCCTGAAGAAGGACTATTATATTCCAGGCCCGGCCTGGAATATAAAGTACAGACAGAAATTAAGAGTCAGAGGAATGACGTGGTGCATTCATGTGTCAGACACGAGAAGCATGTGTCAAGCAATCTCAGCAGCAGGGGTTGCAGCAGGAGGGCATTCAGTGGAGTAAGGAGGAGATGGTGGGCTGGGACATCAGACTAAAGCCTTGCTGAGAAGCAAGTCTCTGAGCACAACAGGGGATGGCTGTCTGGCAGCGTGATAGAAATAAAAAGGCCTAATGAGCTTTTGCAAGCCAGAGGCAGAAGCAGATGAATTGGGAGCATAAGAAACCATCTTATCCAGGTCAGATTCTTGCACATCTAGGTGTGATCAACAGCATTCGTCATGAGTTTCGGGCAGAGAAAAGTCCTTCCCATGACCTGCTACTTCATCTTCCTTAGTAAAAGATACCAAAGTGTACATGAGTCCCCAGACTCTCCCTACAGAAGCATAGTGGGACAAAATGTTGTGTGAATGCAAGATGCATTTTCACTTTCTGAAACGTTGTATAGTGGCTTAGGCCTGGCTTTGGTTTCCAGGAACGTGGTTATTATAGAGAAACTTTCTTTTTATACATTGAACTGTTTGGGTCAGTTATGCAGGTACCTTTCTAGTCCTGCTCTTGTGTGGGTTTAAACACTCACTATGGAGTGAGTGGGGGTCCTTGTTCAGGAAAAGTTTAAGAACTTTTAGGGAAAGCAACTTCCTGGGGTTGTACTATATTGTGAGGTGCAGACGGGAGTCCTGGGAAAAATAGAATGAAGAGGTGTCAGTAGAGAAATGTAGAGAGGAGGAAAGAGTTAATAGATCGACTTGACATAGCAAAGGGGAATTCTTGAGTGTGATAACTGGATGCAGTTCCACCAAGAGATGATGCTCAAAGTTTCTTGCCTGCGATATCTGTGGAGATTCTCAATCATCCAGGTCGTGGTTGTCCAAAAGGTGCTTTTTCCGAAAGGCAATAGGACTTTCTTGGTTATTTTTTTCTTTGACAACATTTAGCTTCTCAACGTTTCAAAGGAAAAGAAGAAGTCCAGTTACCTGTTGGAAAAAGCACCTTTGGGCTGTCCTGCCTGTGATCTATTTCAGTTGCTTCTCTTGCAGGCAAAGGGCTCTAAAAGGAAGGTCACCTCCTTCTGTCAGTCTTCTACCCCTTTACAGAATAAGATTATGTACTCTGTTGGCTTCGTCTGGAGCTAGAGGATTTGTGCACATTGTATTACATATTGCTCAATAGAGAGACAAGAGCCTAGTACTGTGAACCAGGAGTAATTCTTTGTCCCTTCTTATCTTTTAGTCCTTAGAAAAGTCTTTAAGTTAAGTAGGTCTTACTTTAAGTTTAAAGATTCAGGTACTTGTTGCTTAAGTACTTCCCAATTTGACAAGCATCTCCCAAGTGTAGCAGGCTGCCATGTGCTCCAGAAAGGTCCAAAGGAAGTGGGCAGTGATATGACTTCAGAGGCACAGAATGTGCTGGAAAATGCTGCCCCCATTGCTGGCATTCTTGTGGAGGCTCTTGGCCAGCCTTGGAGGAGGAAGAGGAGGAGGAGTGTTCAGCATAGAGTGATAGACAGCTCTGTGCGGTCACAGTTTATAGAGGTAGCCAGGTTCCACAGTGGGAACAATGAACCACTTCAGAATCCTCCCACACTGCCTATATAGAGGCACGAAGCAAGTTGGTGAGTGGGCTCTGTGCTTTCCTCTTGGAACAGCCACAGAAAGGCAGCAGTTCAAGGGTATCCAAGATTAAGATGCTCCCTGGGAATGCTCACCCTTTCCTACCTGATTGCTGGGGCAACCTTCAGTAGGAAAAAGTTCATCCAGGTAATTAGAAAAAGCGACTGGTCTCACTCTGCAGAACGACTGAATGAGAGCGAAGAAGGCAAAGCCTTAGGCAGGGATGGGCAAGTGGGTGGATGGATGAGGGACGGGCAAGGTTGATGGGGGGTGCCTTGATCTTTGCGTGCAGTAGTGAGGGGAGCAGAGCACCAAGGGATGGTGCACCTATTAACACTCTTTCTCTGGGCACTCTTGCCTAGAGCTGGAGAAACGAATCCCGGGAGAAGAGGCTGAGGATGGTTTTGAGGTGTCTGCCCTGCACGGGGTCCAGCACAGTGCCCAAAACAGCCTGTAATGTAGAACTGGGGAACCCTGGGCAGCCTTCCCCCTGCCCCCTGACCAAGGTGAGGCTGCTTCTCCCACAACTGTGCTTATGACTCTGTCTTTCACCGGAGGGTGGGTGGGGGGGTGCAGGGGGGAGGGAGCAGAGCAGCCGCCGCTGACCACACTTTAAAAATCGGGGGATCAATGTGGGATGGCAGGAGAAGGCTACTAGGCGGGGCGATGGGTTGTTGCTCTGCATTTGGATCCCTTGAAGTCTGCCTACTTCCCCATGCAAAGGTGAGGCAGGGGCTGGAAGCAGTAGCCCTGGCTATGACCTTGCCCCATGGACCTGCAGAGAGTCTGGGCAGGGAAGGCTGTCTTTATTTTGCTTTTGTCCTCTCTTTCAAACCTTTTGTCTCCATGGAGCATTTTTCTTTTCTTTTGGAGAAAATTTGAAATTGGCTGTCATGAAATACATCCGAATCTATCGCCTTGGGCTTCGTCCTGAACCCTGCACTGTGTTCCCCCACATGCGTAGATCTGTGGGTGGAAAGATTTTTTTAAAATAAAAAGAAGAAGAAAAAGGAGTGACTGAGTGCACGGCTGTCTCTGTTACCCCCCAATTGTAACGGGGCATGTTTGTAGCTGGATGGGAAAGAATGATTGTATACTTTATGTGCCTCTGTCATATCTGTTTGCATATCTCCTCCTGCTTCGGAGGTGGTTATCCAAAATGGAATTGCACAGACGGGAAACTGTTTGTGTGAATCAGCTCTCCCCATGGTTCCCTTCTTTCCCCCAGGGGCTACGAAGTAGTGCATTGAACCTTTAGGTTGCGGTAGTGATCCTTAGCCTGCCCAAAGTGTGCGTGGGGTCGGCTTCACACAAATGGTTTGCTACTAGTGAAAAGTGTATGTTCTGCAATTCCATTTCAAGCAGCTCGATCCATGTAGTAGGACTGAATGAGGTGTATCTGTCCATTGGGCTGTGCCTGCTCTTTTCCCAGTCTGTTAGGAGTATTCGTTAAACCATATTATGGGAGAAAATATGACAGTTACAGTGCTGTTACACTAGTCCACACTTGAGGACCATAGATTCAGTTCTTCGTACAAGTGTGTAACACCACTGTGCGTGCACAGATTCCTCTGCTAGTGCTGTATGACATCATTTTTCTTTCCCTTCAATGTGATTGGTCACACATTGGTTCCCTGTGTGAAAGAACGGACATGAGTTCTTTGCACCTTTTCATGTGTATTTAAGAACAGAGTAAATTGCCATGTATTGAATTAGCCCATTGGTCCATATGGTTTGGGATTTAATAAGTATTTCAGGCAAAGGGCCATCCCCAGCCTTCTCTGCAGATAGCAAGCCCTGAGTCAGGGGTTCTTTGCATGCGGAATTTGTGTTCTGTCGCTGAGCTACAGTCCTTTTTCTTATTTGTGTATTGTTGTGGAATATCTACAAAAGGTCATCCGTGTGTGAAAACATAACTGCTGGTGGTAGTGAGGATGATATTTCAAAGCAGCCTTTATCAGTCCAATGCTTGCCTGATGTTATACAACTTCCCCGGTTCCCAGTTACTATTGAAATAACTGGGATTTTTAGGGATTACAATCCAACAACTGGAATGCAGCAGGTTGGGGAAGGCTGCTTGAATGAGTCAAAGTTGCTTTGCATGCTTTATTGCCATAATCCTTCCATCGAGAGGAGGATTATGTATCTAGAGATGACCAAATGCATGTCTCAAACCTTCTCCTCTCCACATTCGTAACATTGCTCTATTGCCCCATTTTACACTTTCATTCTCCTTATCTTTTTTTGCCCCAGGAATTCAGTAATGCCGACGGAGAGGAATATCCTAGTGAATTCTCAGCTCAAGGCTCACCAGCCACCCAGAATGGCCCTGAAGTTTATATTCTGCCTCTCACCGAAGTATCTTTGCCAATGTCTAGGCAACCTGGGCGCTCAGGTAATCTAGTGAAGCATTAAGTTTACTTCATTAAACATTTTTCTCTGTGGATAGTTGCAGCAGTGATTTGCATGCTTTGTGTGTACAGAAGCATTGACAAATTTATGCTGTCCAGATGTGTAAGGCTACAATTCCCATGGTTCCCGAATTCCTGGGCAAGGTGTTCAGCAAGTCCCACAAATCCGGAGATTCCCATTTAAGAGAGAAGTAACACTTGGATAGCATCTGTTTGGGAAAGGGAGACAGTAAAACTTTGAATTCTTCTGTTGCTGACAGTCTTGGAATTATCACCTAGATTTTGTGCTTCCGAAAAGAAACAAGGAGCCCAATTTCCCACAACTATCGGAAGAAATACTCCCTTTAATTATTGTTATTATGCTGTAATGAACTGTGAGAATAACCCTGAAGAAGAGGAAGTGCACATACAAATAGCCACTTTAACAAAATGTAATGCGGCCATCCCTTTGAGATAGGCCAAACGTGAATGGCGGAGTCATGAATATTAAAACTATTTTTGTTATAGGGTCACAGTAACAGAACTTGCAACTTTGAATGTGCCTCCCCTTCCCTGCCTTCTCCCAAAGAGAACAAGAGAGGGTCCAGTCCGAGATGTTTTCTCTAATTCCATTTCTGCTCTGGGTTCAGATTTCTCTTATCTCATTGTTGTCTTGGCTGTTCTCTTGTCTTCCTCCTCTTCCTCAAAGTTATTCTCACAGCCCATTACACATGCAGATTCAAGCTGATCTTAAAAAAAGTGGGAGGACAGCATTTTTGCACCCAATCAGCTCAGTGCTCTTTAGGACTTGGAATACTAACACCATTTTAAAGATACAAGCTTTTGTAGCGTAGAGTTCACCTTACCAAGTATTTCTCTCATAATAAAAATCTTAGACTTTAAAATGCTATAGGACTCCTCTTTTTTTTCTTCTACCAAAGATCTGCATGGTTATCCCACTGCACATTCTTAATATGTTCCTTCAGTAATGATACATATCCTTTCATAAAAAAAGTTGGCATCAAACAGTGCGATGGAGTGGGGGGGCATGATAGTAATGGCACTATGGTATTAGCTCCTCTGAACTATTAAGAGCTGCATAGAAATAAATAGATAAATATGCCATTTGTATGGGGACTAAATTCACAGAGGTCTCGGAGATTGCCTGGACATCCTGGGAATGTAACTCAGATACTTTTAAAGAGTACAAGCTTGTTCACAGTCTTCTTCTTCTTCCACCTTCTCTTCCTCCTCCTCCTCTTCCTCCTCCTCCTTCTTCCCCGTCCTCCACCATCAGCCTTGACTCCCTGTATTGCTAAGGAGAATGGAAAAGAGCAAAAAAGACAATAAGAATATCCCCACCTATCTTTAGGGTTAGTTTTAACAAATAATCAGTTTCTGCTCAATATCCTTAATAGTTTCAGTACATACAAAATATTAAGGAGTATATTCTATCATATGCGATAAATGTCATTCCTTCTTATGTCCTCTATTCATCATCCAAGGCCTTGCTCTGAGTATCTTTTATGTATTTTTTTATGTAGTGATCTTTCTACCTTGTAAAACACAGATTTGATTTTGATCTCACAAACCCCAGTGCTTCAGGTGTCTGCTTAGAAACCTTTTTTTAATGGAAGTCTTTTCTTTACAAAATATCCTTAAGGCCACCATATTCATTTTGTTGGGTGTGTCAGTTTTGGATTAACATAATATACTTTTTCTTCAACGTTCTGCTTTTTAGTTTAATATTTCATTGGTATAGGCCCATGGTGGCAAACCTATGGCACGGGTGCCACAGGTGGCACATGGAGTCATATCAGTGGGCACATGAGCGCTGCCGTAGCTCAGCTCCGGTGCAATGCGTGCTCCGGCCAGCTGATTTTTTGTCAGTCCTACTGGAAGTTGGGAAATGGGCCGTTTCTGGTCTCCGGAGGGCCTCCGGGGGGTGGGGAGGCTGGTTTTACCCTCCCCAGGCTCCTAGAAAGCCTCTGGAGGGTGAAAAATGGGCCTACCGGGCCCACTGGGCCATCACATGCTAAAAGCAGGGGGGCACAGGGGGGTCATGTGCGCGGGAGCGGGGTGCATTGAATTATGGGTCTGGGCACGCACATGGGCAACCTCCCCACGCTCCCCCTGCTTTTGGCACGCGATGGCAAAAAGGTTAGTCATCACTGCTGTAGGCTATGGGGCTGAAATAAAGCTGCCTTTGGTCAGAAAGTTCTCCAGATGTGTGGATTTCAATTCTCAGAATTCTGTAGCCTGCATGACCATGGCCAAAAATCTTGAAAGCTGAAGTCCATTACATTTGGAGTGTGGCCAGGTTGGTGATAGCTGCTATAGTGAGGTGGAAGCTTTTGAGTTACATAGAACATTTCACCAGAAAATCAGACCTTCTGTGTAAAATGAAAGCTTTTACCATGAAATATTGCTTTATATGTTTTATATACATCCCCAATCTCAGTTCAGAGTTCTTAATTCAGTAGAGGGAATTATAGCTAATGTAACAAGAATTGTCTGCAATGAGCTAAAGTGAGACTACACTAGGCTCATAATGGTATGTGTCCAACATTCTTGGTTTATTCACCCAAGATCCTGTTCTGCAGATGACTGCTTAGATGTCTTCTATCCTTTTGGCCTTAGACATCTTTTTTGTGTACTGCAAATTTCCAGGCTTCATACCTTCCAACCCACCTTTGTCAAGGGAATACATGAGCTTGGCTGGATTCCCCCACAACCCACTTGCAGCTGCTTGATAGAGAATATGTTGAGGTGGATCAAATCCTCTTTTAATCATGGAATTTGGTTCCTGTAGGCCCACCTCTATCCTGTGACGTCAATGCTTTGTTGCCATTGGAAGCAGTTGAGGAGAGAAGGATTTTTCTCTAGCATATTTTCCCCCTGTCCATTTGTTTAGAGCATCTAATGGCTTGGTTCTCGACTCCCGTTCCTCTGTAAGTCATGCTTTGTCACACATCTTCTCACATCTAAGGATGTATTTGCTGCCTAGGTTGCATATTTCCATTGAATAGCCTAGGGTGAAGGCCGTGTATTCCTCCTTCCTCACCTTTTTACTTCGAAATCCTGTGCATTGCCCCTAAAGCAAGAGATCCCAAATCTTGCTTTAGTCGTTTTAGTGCCAGATATAAACAGAAGAGGAGAGCTAGTAATGGTAGTCCTTTCTTCAATAAGCTGTTATAACCTATTGATGCACAGCATATTTGAGGTGCTATTCCAGATTTTCTCCTCTCCCTCTCTCCCCCTCCCTCCTTAACTAGTATCTTCCAGATTATTCTGGTTTCGCACATATGTATGCTGTAGCGTGAGTTGCCAATGCCATCTTGTGGGCTCAGAGTGGCAAGGCATTCTGGTTTAGGGGACATGAGAATTTGTATGGGCACCTTCCCTGTGTTGCATATACCTGGAGAACAGGCACCTGTGCAGCCACCTTCCTCCATTAGCTAGCCAGGGAGCAGGCAAAACAAATAGCAACAGGACAGGGTTCCAGATAGGGTCTTTGCCCTTGATCTTTTCACCCCAGCAGAGGCTGCTGCTTGTCCTGCCTGAAGGTTTTCTCTCCCCCACTACATTGGAGACAAAGGGCTTTTTGATCCCAGATCCCACGGTCTCTGCATTCCTTCCCATGTGAAGCAACTGAGGAATCTGAGACTTGTCCCACTGGGTAGGAGGCAGAGGGACGAGCCTCTAAGCCATGCGATGGCTCCGCTCTGCCCTGCCCACACTCTGTAGCCCAGTAGAGCATTGTGTGATCCAAACGGACCCCATAAAGAATGGATTCAATGTTTAGCTCTAGCCACCGCTGCCGGGGGGACAACAATAAAGCCTTTGCTTCTCAGTGTGATGGGAACAGTGGTGTCTGGCACTGAGGGAATGAAGGGTGGCATTGCTGCATTTGGGACATGGGAGAGCCCGCTTGAGTAGACCTTGAACAGATGCTTTCTAATGCCTGGAAGCTTAGGCAGACATCTGATTGTAGCAGAAAGCTCCTTGTTTCTTCCTGAGCTTGGGAAAAATTCTTCGGCCCCAGCTTGACTCTGCCAATGTGGCAAAGAATTGCAACAAACCTGGTTCCAGAACTTGATATCTCCACTTTTCTCTGAGGATTTTCCTGTATCTGCACCTGCATGCAGCTGTTGTCCCAGGCCTCTTCTTCTGCAGAAAGCTAGAATGAGACAGCATGGGGTCAAGCTGGCACAGCAACCAACTTATCAGAAAGAGGGTGCAGAAATTCAGACTGCTCTATGTGTTCCTTCACAGTGCAGTTGCTCAAATCCACTGACCTGGGACGTCACAGTCTGCTATACCTCAAAGAAATTGGCCATGGATGGTTTGGCAAGGTAAGCTGGGCTGATCCCCAATCTTCAATTAACACAGGAAGGATGGGAAGGAAGAGAGGACACAGAGAAAGAGCCAAGGCCAAAGGGAGTGAATTTAGAAAGTTGAAATAATAGAATAGATTTTACTCTTAGGCATAGGTGCTCTCCCTTTGAGTAGTGCTTTTGGCAGCAGAGGAGTGAGACTGTGGAACAATATATATTAACAGAATTAAAAATCGAAATGTCAATTCTGCATTAGCTCCCAGTACATAAAAGTGAGCAATTGAGTGGAAAGAACAAAAGGGTGTTATTGTTCACCTCAATGAGAGGAAATTGCCAAAAGAGGGGTGGCAGAGGTTCAGAAGTAAGGATAACTCTGTAACTACTAGATTAGATCTGGCACTTCCCATTGGCCCCATGCAGCATCACTGATTTTTCCTGTACTTATTTCTGTTGCCTCCTATTTGGGTGTCATAGAAAGTTCACCTGGTTTTCCATTAAATTGCCACAGAAAGCCAGCTGAAGAACTGAAAGCAAAGTTGCTTTAAGACCCTGGAGCCTAAGAGTAGGGTAAACAAGAATCTGTGTGCAGGGAGGTGGTGGGTAGGACATAGAAACCAGTGGAATAAATAAATAAGTACATGAATTAAATTGTTATGAGGAACATAAAACTTAAGGCTAACTTATAAAGATAAATTCATACTACGTAGTTTGTCCTGAATCACTGTAGTTGCTGAGTGAACTTGTGCATTTGTAGAAAACTTGGGTTGTGATTGCTAGTGGAACATTTGTAGTCACACATTGGAAAACTACTGATCAAAACATTGGCTTGGTACCATGGATGACTTAATGGCTCTTATGCATGAAAGTTTCCCAGTATTGTTTAAGAATGTCCATACGTGAAAAACTGAGGGTGAGAAGGGTTAGCAAATTCTTTATTCTTGCTGGATTATCAAGTTGCAGTAAATTTCGTGATGGATCTCTGGTAACCACTTAAGAGGATATTGATCTATTAACACAATTTTATATGACAACTATCGTGGCTCTCCCTAGCTCATAAAGTCATTATCCTAAATCAAAAGTGCAAGATCCCAGACCATGGTGCCTATCTCTCTCTCTCTCTCTTTCATTTTAGGTGTTCCTCGGTGAGGTAAATGCAGGGTTGAGCAGTACTCAGGTGGTGGTGAAGGAGCTTAAGGCCAGTGCCAGCGTGCAGGATCAAATGCAGTTCTTGGAAGAGGCACAGCCTTACAGGTAAGTTTTCTTATGCCTTTAAATAGCAGGCTATGGGCAGCATTCTGACAAAATTTCTGTGGAGCTGCACCTGTGAACATATTACTGCTGGAATTGTTCTTTTATTTGTGGCTGTTACTGTTCCAGCCAGGATCTGTATATGAGATATGGGAACATAAGGCTTATGTGAATGGAAACTATCAGCTTTCCCACGTTGACAGAATAAGGCTGGATCATAAGAGATGGTGATGAAAATATCTCTAGATCAAAGCATCAGTATCAAGAAGCAGCTTTAAGACTGTCTGTAATTTGGTCTGACACTGACAAAGGAGTAAAAGAGAGAGTGCTGAACTTCAGAGCTTCCTGAATGTAGCACTCATATGCTTATATAAAATGCAAATGTTAAGTTTAAAAAATTAAATGACCCAAATATAAGATTTTTGTATTACTCCGAGAACTGGCAAATTCCAGCCTTCTTACCCAATATATTATGAAATTTCAAGTTAAGATTATCAAAATCTTGCAAGGTTTGAGGACTTTGAAAATTTGGGTCTTTTATGGTGTCCCTCCCTCAAATAAATGATATTCAGAAGTTATGAGAGGATCTACATGTTTGTAATCCTTAAAGGAAAGCTAGAGAGAAGATTGAAAATAAAGGTATCCTTGAATTGAGCTTCACTCTTGATGATACATCCAGGATGTTTTTATGGCAGTTTTACAAAATGTAGTTTGCTGTTGTCTTTCTTCAGGGTGGTTCTTTCTACTTACTAGTCAAATCTACAGGTGCTTCCTAGGTGCTAACTAAGGGCTACGTAGGGCTGGTCCCGTTCTAGCTTCTGAAATGTCAAGAAATCTTACTCAGTATTACATCTTCTCTCTCAGTATGAATCCTGGAGTAGCAAAGAAATCTACTGTTGGATCCAGAGAATCTGACCAAGATGCACAGAAGGGGAGGGACAATGCTGGGGAAGCAATGAATTACTTTACTGACTCATGAACAAACAGTCCTTATTGTTTATGAGGTAGCTGGCACAGCTTAGGACCCATTTATTCAGTGCCAGTTTGTGGTTGCATCATAGGAACTCTTCCCTGTCCTTATATAAACTGGTGTGAAAGTTGCTGGAAAAAGAAAAGAAGCACCTTCAAAGAAAATCCTTTCTCAACTAACTTAGTTGAGGTGTCACCTGTAAGTCTAGTGCACTGCTTCTTAGTTATGATTGCTCTGCTCCTTGCTTGATCTTTAGCTCTTTCCCTCACTGCTTTAGCCCTTTGATTTCTCTTATTCTATAATGCTGATGCACCTCAACCCATCACAAACCAAATCCCCTGCCAGGTCTGCAAATTTTCCCAAGCCCTCTCTTATTTGGCTCTAGACTCTGCCACTTGCTTGTTTCCTTCCAGTCTCACTTGCACCTTTTACCTTTCTGCCCAGGGCACTCCAGCATACCAATCTCCTGCAGTGCTTGGCGCAGTGCGCAGAGGTGACCCCCTATCTGCTGGTGATGGAATTTTGCCCATTGGTAAGTCCATTAAATGGAGGGGAAAATACAATTCCCCCCCCTTTTTTTAATTTGATTTATATGCCGCCCTTCTTCGGACACTCAGGGCGGCTTACAATGCGTTAAGCAATAGCCTTCATACTTTTGTATATTTATACAAAGTCAGCTTATTGCCCCCACAAATTGGGGGCAATAAATTGTCCTCAATTTACCTACCTTGAAAGGATGGAAGGCTGAGTCAACCTTGAGCCTGGTGAGATTCGAACTTACAGTAATTGCAGACAGCTGGTGTTAATCACAATGCTATTAGTCTGCTGAGCCACCAGGCTCTTCCCCCGAACTTTGGGACAGGAAAATTATAAAAGTGTGGTTGGGTTAAAGAGCTGTTCCTTTTGTTGAGTTGTCTTGTCTCCTGACTCTTGCTGGAGTCATCTGAAACCAATGCTTCAGCAGGTACGTTTCTAGTTTACAGAAGTGTATTTTTTCATTCTCTCTGCAATGAGCTACTTTGGCTTCTTAACAACAGGTGAAGAGATGCCCCTCTTTTACCTATGGAACCGAAATAAGAGACTTTCTTCTGTCTCCCCAGATACGCAGAATTCCAAAATGGCTAGGAATTCTTAAACACCCCTCCATCTTGAGATCATGGTCTCATTTTTTGACCACATTGCAGAAATGCTCCCCTCCCCGTTATTCTTCTTCAACCATGCACACCTGACAAAGAGATCTTTAGGCAGTTACAGTTGTGGTAATGCTACTGCCACCCCAACAGGGTGACCTGAAGGGCTACCTACGAAGCTGCCATGCTGCAGAGGCTCTGGCACCTGATCCTTTGACATTGCAACGCATGGCCTGCGAGGTATCCTGTGGCTTGCTGCATCTTCATCGCAACAACTACGTCCATAGGTAAGTTGAGAAGATTTGTGAGCTTGCCATGCTTTCAGGTTAAGGGCATGAAATGAAAATGGAAAACAGTTCTCTTCAAGAATTTACAGAGTGAAGGTGGTTAGCTGGAGAACTTAGAAAAGAGAACGATTTCGAGTGAATTTAGCAAATAAGGAAGGAGCAGCAAATGCTGTTTTCAAAGGTATACTGTGGTAGCTATCCATACACCCATAGATCTTTAGACCTACAGGTAGTCCTCGACTTACAACCACAATTGAGCCCAAAATTTATATTGGGAAGTGAGACGTTTGTTAAGTGAGTTTTAGCCCATTTTACGATCTTTCTTGCCACCGTTGTTAAGTGAATCAATGCAGTTGTTGAATTAGTAACATGATTGTTAAGAGAATCTGTCTTCCCCATTGGCATTGCTTGTCAGAAAGGTGCAAAAGGTGATCACACTTTACCTCGGATTACACTGCCGCCAACATAAATATGAACCAGTTGCCAAGCATTTTAATTTTGATCACATGACCATGAGGATGCTGCAACATTCGTAAGTGTTAAAAACGGTCATAAGTCACTTTTTTCAGTGCCGTTGTAACTTTGAACGGTCACTCAATGGACTGTTGTAAGTCGTGGACTACCTGTACTAGTTTAGGGTTAAGACTTAAATCTTTTTGCAGGATTTGAGAGAGGAGTCTTTTCCAGTTTTACCTGGAGACTCCAGGACTTCATCTGCTTCATCTTCTGCCGTGGAATTATGGACCCTTCCATATCAGCATTGATGATGACGATGATATTTCGTATGATATTATCTGAGGCCTGGTGACTAGGAGTGGAAGTGGTGATAATCCAAGGGCATGTCTTTTCCTGAAAACAAATTTTCAAAAGCACGGATCGGCAATTCATGGTCTGTGTGTCATGCCCCACCCCATTTCCTATGAAACGATGGTATCTCCTGCTGAAATTTGAAAAGCGGGCTCTCTAAAATAATTGGGGTTGGAAAATAGAAGCTGACAAACATAAGATATCGAGGAAAGTATTGCATTTATAAAAGTTAATCTTCAGAAATATGTTGGATTTTATCTTCTAATTACACCGTTCTCATGCTTTCAAATGCATTTCTTCATGCCTATAAATGTGTCCATTTAAAAATTGCAGAATTTTGGCACTAAAAATTGCCCGTCGGGGCTTTTTAAAATTTGACAAAGATAGTAAAAGTATATATGAGAGTACGGTATTCTGTTCTGCTGCTGAGGCTTTCATGCCCCCTTCTGGATTAGTATTATTATTATTTTTTTACAATTATCTGGCTGGCTACATTAATTCCAATTTTTTCTTCAGTTACTCATTTATCATACATATTAAATATTAATGTGTTCCCTGTCTTTTTTTATTCTGTCCCCACTCTCTTTTTCTTGGTTTCTTTTCTTTATGGTTCCGCCTTCTTTTCCTGAATGTGTTGATTATTTGAATGCAGCCTTTGCCTTAAAAAGAACTGGCAAGGGGCTAGGAATAAGAAACCAAGGTTCTTGGGGGAGTTATGCCCCAAAGGAGAATTTGAGCCTTTATGTATTGTGTACTGTGGTAACTGAAGTTTGTATTTGCTTAGGCAAGGATGCACAGGGTATGCTCTTTGTAACATTGACTTTCCAACCAGCTTTTCCCCTTCCTGTGGTCTCGTCTGGGAACACGGGTTGCAGCATTTGGCTTCCAGCAAGAAACTAGACAAGCCTGGATAACCTCTGCTGTTCCTGCTCTCTTCTTATCACTCGTTCCTCCCCGTCAACAATATCCTGGTGCTGAGTGAGTGGCACTCAGAGACTCCAGCATCAGTGATTTTGTTGAAGAGGGGGTGCTTTGCCATCTCCTGGACCATCTTTTATGGACAGAAGAAAGGGATGCCATAGATGTCTCTGGTTACTGAGCTGGAAGAGAATAGTGCCTAGAAGATAAGCTTTGACATGCTTCTCTTTCTCTTACTCTCTTTCTCTGCCTCTCCCCCCCCATCCCACCCTTCTTTCCTTTCTCTCTTCATATTTAACATAGCTATAAAAACTGGCATTATCTTTCACAGTGGATATAAAAATTTGATTGAGTGATGTTTAAAATGCCACATAGAGAAACAGGCCCATTTGTGCTGTACTAAAATGTCTCCTAAAATAAAAAGAGAACGCAGCTATAGTGATGGTTGGGGCTCAGCAGTTCTTCTGAAATCGCAAAAGATGCAAAAACAGATGTTGAGTAAACGTGATCAATACCACGTCCCGTAGCATGCTTTCATGCAGTTGAAAGACTAAGTATAACTACGATCATAGTCACTGATAGAAAATTCTGTGCCAGCAGCAGGAAGGAAAGGCTGAAATTGCCTTTTTTTGTGTGTGTGTGTTTGTTTGTTGCTTTGGTTTTTTTCAAAAAAGGCCTCTTTTTCCACACGTTTCAAGGAGATATTTCCTCTTGAGGGAGATAGCTAAGATAGAGGACAGAGTAAGGGTCCAAGCAGAATCAAGGTGGGCAGCTGCTTTTTGTGATTCAGCTCACAAAAATTAGAGTCAGTGTGCTTACTCAGGGGAGCATCTCTCCTCTGAGAATCCTCAACCCATGTTAAAGAACAGTACAGGTAGTCCTCGACTTACAACAGTTCATTCAGGGACATTTGAAGTTACAAAAGCACTGGAAAAAGTGACCTATGACCGTTTGTCACACTTACAACCATTGTAGTATTCCCATAGTCATCTGATCAAAATTTAGATGCTTGGCAACTGACTCATATGGTTGCAGTGTCCCCGGGGTCATATGATTTGCAACCTTCTGACAAGCAAAATCAAGGGGGAATCCAGATTTACTTTGCACCCGTATTACTAACTTAACAACTGCAGTGATTCACTTAACAAAGGTAGGAAAAGGTCATAAAACGGGGCAAAACTCACTTAGCAAATGTCCCATTTAGCAACATAAATTTTGGGCTCAATTGTGGTTGTACGTTGAGGACTACCTGTATTCAGGGTTTGTGGATAAACTTGCAGCGGTTTTCTTTTAAAACAACTGGAATCAGAAGCAGAGCTTTTATGTGACATAGTTTTTGTTAGATCTTGCAGAGTGCAGACTCATTAGCAGAGCGGGAGGGGTGAGTTCCTGTCATTATTATTGATATCTGCTTTCTGTGTCATTCTTAAAGTTGCTAGACCATGCTCAGGTCTAGCCTTGAAAACTCTACAGGTGATCAGTTGCTTCCATCTGTCAATCAAAAGGATGTACCCTTTAAACACATGGTTTTATGGTAGGTGGATCTTGGTAGAAAGTCAAGCTGAGTGGCTGAGAGAAAGCAGAACTTATCCCAGTTGGTATATTGTTGTATAGTGGCTTGGATTTCCAACTCTGCTTCTTTCTGAGGATTCGTTTCTTGATATATTTCTAAGGGTAATCAGAGATATTCCTTGTTGCCTTTGATAAACTAAGTAATAAAGGCTGATTAGCAGTTCTACCCTGCACAACAGTTGCCACTCCCTAGTTTAGGAGTTCTGCTGCTAATCTAATCTGCATCATAATGGCCCTTTGATGCTTCATGGATAAACTCTGTTGGATATTTCTTTTGTCTAGTGACTTGGCCTTGCGGAACTGCTTACTCACAGCTGACCTTACTGTCAAAATCGGTGACTATGGCCTTTCTCACTGCAAATACAAAGTAAGTGTGTTTGGGGGGCAGGGAGCTGGTGAGGGGGTCGGGGGGGGGGTCGGGAGAGGGAGTGAGAGCACTTGCTATTGGCAGGGTTCGGAGAGGACTTGAAAGGCTGACAATGAAAGCAGCTCTCTTTCAGGGATGGTTGAGAGAGGAAGGAGGGGAAAATGGATAAGAGACAAATACAGGACATAATACACCAAGGAATGTCAGAAGCTAATGCACATTCACACACAGGATCTTATGCATATATACATTGTGAATACGTTTTTCTCATTCATATTTTATATGTGGCAGCCTTTAAAGGTGGCTCAAAAATTTAAGCTGATGCAAAAGATGGCTGGGCCAGCATTGTTGGAAATGAGGTGAATCTGCCAGTGCATTTCCAAGCTGCATTTAATGTGCTCTTTGTAATATTTTTTTTTTTAAAAAACCCTTAAAACCTAAGCCCTCTAACTTAATGAAGCACCTGCACCCACTTGCTAATACTTAAAGACTGCAAAGAAGGCTTTTCTTATTGGCCTGATCCTTAGGAGCAATCATATTGGCAGCTGCAAGAGAAAATACCTTTCTGGATATAGACACATATCTCTTGAATGATCCTGACAAACGAAGTTCAGGAACACCCATCACTATCGTTTAAAAGACTTACCTGTTTTCTATGATCTTCCCTTAAGTCGTGTTTTTAGGGGAGGTTTTTTTTTGGGGGGGATGGGGTTTGCTTTACCCTCATAACTTTTATTAAATTGTATAGATATTGTTTGTTTATTCCATAAGATGCTTTGGGAAGATTCCGTGTATTCTACAAGGCAGACTAGTAATAAAATAAAAATTAATAAACAAGGGCCAAATGACTGAGTTGGAGAGGTGAAAAGGGCTAGAAGCAGGGGTGAAATCCAGCAGGTTCTGACAGGTTCTGGAGAACCGGTAGTGGAAATTTTGAGCAGTTCAGAGAACCGGCAAATTCCACCTCTGGCTGGTCCCAGAGTGGGGAGGGAATGGAGATTTTGCAATATCCTTCCCCCAGGAGTGGGGAGGGAATGGGGATTTTGCAATATCCTTCCCCCAGGAGTGGGGAGGAAATGGAGATTTTGCAATATCCCTTCTCCCAGGAGTGGGGTGGGAATGGAGATTTTGCAGTATCCTTCCCCTGTCACACCCACCAAGCCACACCATGCCCACCAAGCCACGCCCACGGAACCGGTAGTAAAAAAAAAATTGATTTCATCCTTGGCTAGAAGCAATTGATGGAGAGGTTCAGTAGTGCCAACCATAATTTTCTCGGGCAAAAGGGTTTGGCAGCTCTGGCTTAGGACCAGGAATGAGGGGGCAGGTGTTGTTGTTGATGCTGGTTTGTTTGATGTGCTCTCCCTTTGGCCCTGCATGCCCGGCAGGATGACTACTTTGTGACCACCGACCAACTATGGGTTCCATTACGCTGGGTAGCCCCCGAATTGATTGATGAAGTCCACGGCAACCTGCTGATCGTCGACCAGACTAAGACTAGCAACATCTGGTGAGAAAAATCTGGGTTGGTGAATGAAATCTACTTGGCCTGGAAAGAGAGTACTGGCTCCAAAGCTTTTAAGACAAACAGAGTTAGAGAGCCAGGTTGGTCTAGTGGTTAATGCATAAGGCTAGAAAACGGGAGGCCATGAGTTCTAGTCCCACCTTAGCCATGGAAGCCAGTTGGGTGACTTTGGGCTAGTCACTCTCTCTCAGTCCAACCCATCTCATGGGGTTGTTGTTGTTGTGGGGAAAATAGGAGGAATAAGGTGTGTTGGATATGTTTGTCACCCTGATGAGTTATTTTTAAAAATAACAAAAGTGGGATACAAATTAAATAAATAATAATAAATAGATAATGTTGAAAATGCAACTGCTGTAGTAAAAGTAATCTTATTGAAACACCTAATATTAATTGTATTTAAACTTTACTGATTGTCTGTTTATTTATGTGCTAAATTCCAAATTGTGGTGCTTGTTTTTATCGTTTAGGGCTGAGTTATATAAAAGAGAATCTCCCCTCCCCCTTCCCCAATGCATCTTCTTGCTCATTAAGAAAGTAGGACAGCGTTTTAAATGACAGCCTTTGCAGTATGGAATTGACCTAACAGTTTTTGCAAGACTTAGGATCTTGGTTATTGTAGCTAGAAGTTAGTGATAGGACTACTGAGCGGTGTGTTCATGTGCACCACTGGAATAACTCAGGGGTGGTATTCCCTTACCTTCGCTACCGGTTCGCAAATGTGAGTGTGCGCGCCGCCGCCACACATGCACAGGGCCTTCCACGCATGCGCAGAGCGTCAAAAACGTGAATAAATGGGATGTGATTAGGTCCGGGTGGGTGGGCGGAGCCTCCTGCAGCCTCCGCTACCAGTTTGCCCAAACCAGATAGAAACGGGTAAATACCACCACTGGAGTGACTCTGTTTCACAGTGTTACTGGAATTTTTCCTATAAATAGGTTTCGTTTCTGTTTTCCATGTCTAGATTTCCCCCCCCCCCTTGATGGTGAATTACAAAGGATGCTTCTAGGTAAAAGTTTCTTTAAGGCAATTGTTTTGCCTCTGTCACAGAGTTATCTGGAAAATCCAGCTTTCTCCCCCTGCTTTGACATGCACCCTTTTCATTTGCTCCTAAGACTTCTGTCCATAGAGGGAAAAAACATGGTATAATATTGTCTTCTCAACTAGAAGCACCTGAATATTTCAGTAACTAAGAGAGACTGCTCTGACATCAAAGAATGTGATCTTGTGTATCGATCTTGCATTCTAGCTATAGTGGTTTTGTTTTGTTTTTTTGTTTTTCATTTTTCCTCTCTTGGCAGGTCTTTGGGTGTGACTATCTGGGAGCTGTTTGAGTTGGGTGGCCAGCCCTACTGCCATTATTCCGATCGGCAAGTCCTCACTTACGCTATCAAAGAGCAGCAGCTTAAACTTCCCAAACCACAGCTTCCGCTCTCACTATCTGATCGCTGGTGAGTAACTAGGTGGGGACAAGGGTTTTTAAAGTGATTGAAATATATAGGGGCAAAGATGGTGGAGGGAAGGAGAACTTCTTCTTGAGTAGGTGTTCAACCTACTTGAACATGTAGGTATTCATCATATTTGAATAAGCAAATATCATGTTTGATGGTTAATGTGTTAACTCTTGTGCTATTGAATGAATGAAAGATGGATGGACAGATGTTTAACAACTGATCACTTAGTGACTGAAGTTACAATGGACTGACTCAGAACTACATATGACCCGCTTTTCCCTTCTTCTATCCTTTCCTACTTTCCTCTTTCCTCCTCTCCTACTCCTTCTCTACTTCCCCTTCCTTCCCCCCCTCTATTCCTTGCTCCCTTTCTAACCTTCTCTCCTACTCTTATTTCCCCTCCCTTTCTTCCTCTTCTTTTCCCTTTCTTCTATTCCTCTCTCTCCTTCCTCTCTTCTCCTTCTTCCCTTTGCTCCTCCTTCCATTCTCTTTCCATTGTTGTATTCATTTTCAATTCAATATTTTCCACAATGGTATCTGTGCAAACCCGATTTCCCCCCGCCCACTTATTAACTATATTTTTCAAAGTCCCCATCACATTTTTTAAATTATTAACAATGTATTTCAACTCATTCCATTTTTACATTAAAATCTTTTAACTTAATTAACCTTCCACTTCTTATTTTCCTTAGCTCCTAATTTCTTATTCCAACATCCATTAATTATTTTCCTCATTTACTAGCCTTTCAATTTTATATCTTAATTTCAGTTATTTTCACATTTAAACCAATCTTCATTTCATATTGCGTCTGCTAATGCATTTTACAATAAACAATATGTTTCTTCTTTTTTACTTCTTACATACAGTACATCATTTGCTAGCATATGACCCACTTTTGAAGGTCACGTGATTGCATATTGTGAGCTGGGCAATTGGCTTGGATTTATGTCATAGTCATGTGACTGTGATTTTTTGTGTTTGGGGCTGGTTTCCAATGTTTACTTCCAGGGTCTGGCAAAAAAAAAAAGCCCGTTGGGGAAAAGGGACTCAGTTAATGACCATGGTGTTCACTTAATACTGCCGTGTTTGCTTAAAAATAAGAAGAACAGAATTGGAAGGAACCTTGAAGGTCTTCTAGTCCAACCTTCTGCTCAAGCAGGAAACCTTCTACCATTTCAGACAAATGGCTATCCAGTCTCTTCTTAAAAGCCTCCAGTGATGGAGCATCCACTACTTCTGAAGAAGGCAAGCCGGCCCACAGATTAATTGTTCTTACTGTTAGGATCATGGCAAAAATGGCTGTAAAATTGATGGCAGTCATGTGGTGATCCCCTTAATGACGATCATAATTCTGGGCTCAGTTAACAGTCGTAAATCGAGCACTAGCTGTGCCTGCCTAAGGAGTACAGAAGTGCATATGATGAGAAGGAGCTAGATGTCTTGAATATGAGTCAGTAGGGTAGCCCAACTGCTAAAAAGGCTGAGATAGTCCCAAGCTGCTTCTATAGAAGCATGGTATCTAGCCCAGAATAATATTTTGTCTAGGCCATATCTGGACCACCATGTTAAGCTTTGATGAAGATTTTTGCAGTGTGGATGGGGCCAGGATGTTGATTGGAGCTGGGAAGCAAATCCTATCAGAAAAAGCCTTGTTTTCTTCGGATGCTGTTTTCTCTGACCTTCCCCACCCCCTTATCCAGGCCATTTTTCTTTTTTTTACATGAAGCAGTCATTATTATATAAGACAGCAGCTTGTCTTAAAGTGTGTTTTTGGAGATGGAATAATAGTGTTGAGAAGAGAGGACTAACTCCATACAAAGAGATACATTATGTAATGAATTATGCACTAATGGGGGAGGATAAGCTCTTTGTGGGGTGCAGAATAGCCACTTTCCTGACAGCAAAGGACCTTTGGCTCATGGCTGCTCTTTTCTTACTATTCACAGGTATGAGGTTATGCAGTTTTGCTGGCTTCAGCCAGAGCAGCGCCCCACCGCAGAGGAGGTGCACCTTTTGCTCTCCTACCTCTGTGCCAAGGGGGCTTCCGAAGTGGAGGAGGAGTTTGAGAGGCGCTGGAATTCCATGAAACCCGGAGGCACCGGCGGTTCAGGCTCTGGCTCTAACCACATGGGTTTGGAGCTTTCCTCCTTCCCTCTTCTGGAGCATTTCTCCAGTGATGGTGACGATGTTCTCACTGTGATGGAGACAAGCCATGGCCTCAACTTTGAATACAAATGGGACCAAGGGAAAGCTGAACATCTCCCAGCCTCAGCCATGAGCCCTGGTGGGGCTGCACGCTATCATGAGCTCTACTATTCGGCGAGCAGCAGCAGTGGAGGTGGGCACCTCAGCCTGGGGGTGTCCCCCTCTTGCTATGAATGTAAAATGCAGGGATGCCCTGGTTTGCACACACCGGGCGTGGTCCCTGTGCTGAGTGCCCATAGCCCTTCTCTGAACAGTGAGTACTATATTCGCATTGAAGAGGTGGCATCTGAAGGCAGCGGGAATGACCTTGATTATACCGTGTGTTCCTACAGCCCTGAGTTCAGCCATTCTTCACACTGGCAAACCAAGGAGGACCACTATGAATCCAACAATAGTCCCACCATCTCACTCACCATGGAACCCCTCCTGGGTCAATCAGCACACCCTGAAAGCCACTGGGAACCCTCTGACTATTACTCCTATGGAGAACAAGACAGTAAAGAGGCCCCATACTATGAGGACTCCCTGAAGGACAATGCTGAGGAATACCTACTCAAGGATCCCAGTGCTTCTGAGTGGCCTGGTCTAGCTTTGCAGAAAAGCATTTTTGCTGATCCACTTGGTGTGTCACCATCAGTAAATTACACCTGTAAGGAGGCTCTATCAGATTCAGTCATTTTGGAAGTGGCAGAGGAGGAGCGCTTGAGTGATAGTCCTAGGAGTGAAAGAAATGAAAACTCTGAATCTCCCTCTTCAGGCAAGCCTTGGACATCTGACATCTCAGTCAAAAATGATAACGATCACCTACTGCCATCATGTGAACCCCTTGCCAAAGATAGCTGGTGCTACCGACATATGATCACCTTCCAGGGACTAATGGCACAGCCACTGGACACAGTGCCACGGGATGAGCCAACATTAGGGATCAAAGATCTGCGAGCAGCTCTGCTAGGTGGGGAACACATGACATCATCATCCCATATAGGCTCCCAATGTCCAGACAGCGATTTTCCTGCAGAAGAAAATGACTCAGTTGAAAGTGCTGCTACATTGCCTGGCATAGAAAGCTCTACAGATCCCTTGATAGACAGCAGAGTGGAGAGCCCAGAAGCCACCACCCCACCATTGGGGGAAGATGTTTTGATGGGTCTGTCGTCAACATCATCACCCTTATCTTCCAAGGAAGAAGTTGCCAGCAGCATGGAGGCTATAGATCCAACTCTGCTGGATGAATCAATAGCTGAGGTGTCAAACATAGAAGAAGACCCTATGGAAGAGACCTCCACTGGATGCTCACCTAAGTTGCCACAGGAGATCAATATAGAAAGTGGCAAGAACACCAGTAGTGAACAAGATAGAACACCAGACAAGACTGTTTCCAGTACAAGTTTCCCTGACTTGGATGAGGCCAGTGATGAGGACTCAACTGATCTTACATCTGGAGTTTTTATTGACTTCCCAGTTGACTGTCTTGAGCAGCAAGATATAATCCCCACTTTCAAAACCTTACAGAAGCAAGTAGGGACCCCAGATTCACTAGATTCATTGGATATCCCCTCTACCACCAGCTCCTGTGACACCTTCAGTCCCATAGCTTATATATCCTCAAGCCAGCCTAAGGCTCTGGATAGTGGCTATGATACAGAGAACTATGAGTCACCTGAATTTGTCCTCAGGGAACCTCATGAGTCACGAGAATCTGAAGGTTCTGATAAACTGGGAACATCTGAAGATGATAAGGATGATCAAGTCAAAGAGCAGAGTCTCTCTGATTCTTTTACTGCTGAGCTGCAGGCGTTAAATGAGAAGAATCCTTACCGTGACTCTGCATATTTCTCTGACTATGATACTGAAGGTGGCACTCGGGAAGATGGAGAAGAGGACAGTGATGCTTCTGAGGAACATGAACCAGAAGTCTCCCAGTCACACACTGAAGAACTGAAGGAAAACTTTGAACCAATTGGCAGGACAGATGAGCCTTTGCCAGCTGGTCCTGAGCCCATTTGTCCACATGAAGACTGTGTGGGTTGCATCTCTCCAGGAACGGAGGACCAGGACACGGGGAAAGACAGAGATATTAACTTGTCACAGGAACTGTTGGTGAATGAAGCAACTGTTGATAAGTTGGATTCAAACCTATTTCAGGATAAGAATAATGGGATTGTTGTGCAATCCCAGACACCAGCCCCCACCACCAGATCTTTTGTCTTGTCTCCTGTGGTCATCAATCTAGAGGAACCCACCATAGGTGGTGAAGAAAATGAGGTAAAGGATTCAGGACAGGAGAATGTGACAAAGAACACTGAACAACCTGAGGAACGACAGGCAACTGGCCCTCCCAAGGAACTTCAGAGCAACCTTGGTCTCTCGCTCAAATTGTCAGTGGTACCATCCCAGCTTTCATGTAGCCCCACTGATCCTGAAGAGGAAGAAGATGATACTGAGGACAGTGATGAGTCAGATGAGGAGCTGCGGTGCTACAACATTCAGGACCAGAGTGAGGAAAGTGAGGAGGAATCACCTGCTGTGCCCATTGTAGTGGCTGAGAGCCACAGTGCCCGTAACCTGCGCAGTCTGCTTAAGATGCCCAGCCTAGTGGTGGAGACATTTTGTGATGACCTTGAGCGTAAGAAGAAAGCTGTTTCCTTCACCGAAGATGTTACTGTCTACCTCTTTGACCAGGTAACTTGTTGGGGAGGGGTTGAAGAGACAGAGTTCTAAGTAACTTAGAAAAGGACTCAGGGAACAGAGTGCATCCTGTGCTAAATATCGTCATATCACAAGGCCAAAATATGCAACCTGATTCCTCCTAGAGCAGTGGTGTCAAACTCGATATCATTGAGGGCTGCATCAGAGTTATGTTTGACCTCGGAGGGCAGGGGGGCGTGGTCAGGGTGGGTGTGGCCAGCTCAATATCACCCATCAAGGCTGCCCTCTGCCAGCAAAAATGGAGCTTGGGGAGGCTGTGTATGGCCTCCTCGAGCTCCATTTTTGTTGGCAAAGGGCTGCGGGAGGCTGTCATGGCTGAAAACGGAGTCCCGGCAGGCCATGTGCAGCCTCCTGAGCTCCATTTTTGTTGGCAGAGGGCTGTAGGAGGCTGTTGCAGCCAAAAACGGAGCCCAGGTAGGCCGTGGCCCTCCTGAGCTCTGTTTTCACTGGCAAAGGCACCGTGGGCCAGTGCTTCACTGTTCCCAGGGTGGGCTCATGGGCCAGATCTAAGCACCCTGTGGCCCAGATCTGGCCCCTGAGCCTTGAGTTTGACACCCCTGTCCTAGAGCTTTTAAATGATACTTTTTTGCCATTGCAAAGCTGGGGAGGGTTAATGGGTATCCAAAGCACCTAGAAGATACCAGGTTCTTTATACTTTATGGCTACTATAACTGGACTGCAAAATCCAGATCTTTCTAAATTTCTTTGTGGTCAACTGGATCTTTGCAGTGCGCATCTGATTATTCTACCTACTTCAACTAATTGCTTACTGGCTTCTGATTGTAATATTCTGTAATCTTAGCCATAATAATACCAACCAGTCTCCTCTAACCTCCTGCCCTCATGATGAATTGGAATACAAATCTCATCACCCATGCAAACTTGATTTAGGTCTTCCTAGATGAGCAAAGGTTGGGAGGGCATGACTATAAACAGGGCTAGCAGAACTGGGCTGTGATGGAGTTTCCTGTATCTCTGCAATATGCTGCTATCTACCGTGTTTCCCCAAAAATAAGACCCCGTCTTACATTTTTTTTTGAACCCTGAAATAAGCGCTTGGCCTTATTGCGATGTGCTCAAAAGCCCGGTTGGGTTTATTATCAGGGGATGTCTTATTTTGAGGGGAAACAAGGTAGTACTCAGATGAAGCTTGGTTATTCTGAGTAAAAGATAGCAGCATATGGTAGAGATACAGAAAACTCTAACACTTGGCTGTCAGTGGCTGTCTGGAATTTTGCAACCTGGATTAAGTAGTTCTACACAATCTGGATGAACACTAAAACAAACTACATGTTCCAGCTAAATCTTAAAGTTAGACCTCACATTTTTAATTAACATAGAAATGAGCCATGAAAGAGGGAGGAAGTTGTTATGGTTACAGCTTTGTGGATGCTGAAGGTACTAAATAAGTAACTTTCGGGTTTTCATAGCACAGGGGTCTCCAACCTTGGCCACTTTAAGCCTGGAGGACTTCAACTCCCAGAATTCCCCAGCCAGCTTTGCAGCTTTGCTAGCTGGGGAATTCTGGGAGTTGAACTCCTCCAGGCTTAAAGTGGCCAAGGTTGGAGACCCGTGTCATAGGGTGTCCTGGATAATAGCAGAGTACAGTTTTTCCTCCCTCAGGTTGTGAACTAATTGTATCCATTGCATGTTTTATATGCAGGAAAGTCCCACAAAGGAACTTGCAGAGCAGCCTTTCCCAGGAGTGACAGAAGCTTCGCCAACGCCACCTGGGCAGGTGGAGAGCAAAGCTTCCTCAGGCTTAGCAGATGAGATAAATACACCCAACAGCACCTCAGAAGGGAGCTCCTCTGAAGAGAATACAAGTATGGATCGAATGAGGAATTGAGGCCCATGAGATCATGTTACACCCTCATCACTATGTTTACACTCTCTTGAACTCAGCTCATTTTGCCTTTTTTCTTAGCAAGATTAAATACTTTATCTTCCATAGATAGTTAAGATTAGAACTAAATTTGATCTGTTTGGATTAGCAGAATGCATGTACCTATTTTAACTAAACTAATGAGTTTCACATCAAAACTTAACACAGGTAGTCCTCATCTTACAACCAAAGTTACGATGGACCTACCTTTACAACATGGATTCAAAGTGCTGAGGGTCACCTCCCCTGCAGTCACATGACAAAACTTTGAGCGCTTAGCAACATGGCCGCATTTACGGCCATTTGCAGCATCCACAGTCATGTGATTGAATTTTACAATGATTTTGCCAAAACCTGTCATTTCTAGTTTGGGGCAAAATCGTACCATAGCAAGGCATTGGTTTCCTTAACAACAGCAGTGTTTGCTTAACGACCATGGAGACCACTTATGTGCTGCAAAAAAAGGTCATAAAATGGGGTCAATCACATGACTGACCTATTTTACAACCATCACAACTTACTACTATTATGAAAGGCAGGCTCCATTACGGTCATAAGTCAAGGACTGTCTGTATGTCCTGCATGTGGAGTTTGTTGCAGCTTCTTCCATATGTGTATTTTCTCAGAAGAATGCTGCAGATTCAGACAACTTGGTTCCATTTCCAAAAATTCCATCTGTCTTGGAAAAAAATATCAGAAGGAATCTGGACTCATAAAAGTTTTGCAGGCCAGCATAGTGACTGCTGGTCAGTGATATACCTGATCTCTCTCAATGTCTGCTATATTTCAGATTCTATATTTGTCTTGGGATCAAGAAGACTTTTTTAGTTTTCTCTTATTACAAACTAATTTATGAGTAGGAATTTCCAGCTTGTAAATTTGGTTGTTAAAAGCAGCTCACTGAACAGCATCTAATGGCCATCATAAGATCATAGAGAATGACACTGTAGTAAGGTACAGGTAAACCTCAATTTATGACCACAATTGAGCCCAAAATTTCCATTGCTAAGCAGGACAGTTGCTGAGTTTTGCTGTACTACCTTTTACTACCTTTCTTGCCTCAGTTGTTAAGTGAATCAGTGCAGTTTTTAAGTTAGTAACAGAGTTGTTAAGTGAATTTGGCTTCCCCATTGACTTTGCTTGTCAGAAGGTTCCAAAAAGTGACCACCTGATCTTGGGACACTGCAACCATCATAAATATGAACCAGTTGCCAAGCATCTGAATTTTGAACACACGACCATGTGTTTGGATGCTGCAGAGGTCGTAAGTGTGAAAAATGGTCATAAGTCACTTTTTTCAATGCCGTTGTAACTTCAAACAGTCACTAAACAAGTGATTGTAAGTCAAGGATTACATATATTTCTGCACTCTAACCTCGCTGGTGCAGTCGTTAAGAGTGCAGTACTGCAGGCTACTTCTGCTGATTGCCAGCTGCCTGCAATTTGGCAGTTCAGATCCCACCAGGCTTAAGGTTGACTCATCCTTCCATCCTTCCGAGGTGGGTAAAATGAGGACCCAATTGTTGGGGGCAATATGCTGACTCTGTAAACCGCTTAGAGAGGGCTGTAAAGTACTGTGAAGCGGTATATAAGTCTAAGTCCTATTGCTAAGTGCTATTGCTATATATTGCAGAGCGATTATTTCTTTTTCAGCCTCAAGCCTTCCAAATGAGTTGTGTTTAAACTTCTAGGCAGCCTGGCCAAAATCCAACATGCCTGGAAGGTGTCACATTGCAGTCTGATAGAGGAAATCCTGTTGGACTTTGGGAAAGTTTGTTGTAGAGAGTGGACAAAGGGAGTAGCCTTCACATCAGCCTCTTCATCTTTCCTATACCTATCCTTTCCATTTCAGGTGGTGGCTTTGGATGGGATGATGACTTTTCCCTCATACCTGTGAAATCACCTGTCCTGTCCTCATTGACCTCAGAGGCACCTGAGGACAGTCTCCACAGACTGTCACCCACACTAGTATCTGCTCAGAAGCAAGTGCTGCCCATCCAGTTTTCACGCTTCACAGTCTCACCTGCTGCAGTATCACGGTTCTCCATCACACACGTCACTGATTCAGATGTTCAGCCTGTAGGAGGTAAGGTCCGTTCTGACATTTCCAAAACTGCAGAAGAGAGTGACCTTCCTAAGGAATGGAAAGCCTCCCAAATATCCAGAAGTTTCTTGTTCTTGGGGCAAGCATTGTGGAGTTCATGTGATCTGATTGTGGAGGTCTCATGATTAAAGCCAAGAAATTAAATATTAAATAATATTGAAATTCTGGATAGGACATGAACTGTTCTGAACTGGTTACTTTTATCCATTGCATTGAATCTTGCTCCAGGCAGGGGCCTCTTCTAATCGTTGGTTGAATCACACTTTAAGGATTTATTTTACTGAGGCCACATTAATATGAAATTATTTCAGTTTTCCCAAACTTTTAAGAGATCATTGCAATATTTGTGGCATTAAAGGAAAGGAACAGCAATGTAGAAGATGGCATTGGCAAACCTCTTCCATACCGTTGCTGAGAAAACAATGTAAATATAACCACACATCACCAGGAGTCAAGCTTGACTCAAGAGAACTTGATTTATGATGGTCTTTTTTAGCAGGAGTATAGAGATTTACCTTTTCATAATCCAGGTCATTCATTCATATGACAGTAGGAGGTTTAGGATCCTTCTTCCATACTTCCAATGTTTCTCTTTCCACAAGTTTGGTGTCGTGGTTAAATGCTGCCTTAGAAATCAGGAAACTTGAGTTCTAGTCCCACCCTAAACATGAAAGCCAGCTGAGTGACCTTGGGCCAGTCCCTCCTTCTCAGCCCAACCCATTTCACAGAGTGGTTGTTGTGAGGAAATAGGAGAAGAAAAAAGTATTAGGTACTGTATGTTAACTCTTCAGTTACCTGTAAAATAATGAAGGCAGGATAAAAATTGAATTTAAAAAACCTAATATTTCTCATTCAGATAGAAGCCAGGCTGGCACAAATCCTTGGAAGGTAGATGACTTGCCCGTGGAAACTGGGAAATAAATTTTTCCTCAGATCTTAAAACATATCTGACCAAAAGGGAAGTTGTGAATCCCTTTTACAAATTAAGCTTCTGTCCATATGTCATGAACTGAATTCAAACTGTGACTTGCAGTCCTGAGGCATCTGGAGGAGATCAGATGTGTTGGGAAAGCTAAGAAAAGGGCCTCTGAGGCCTCTAGTTCTGTGATTGCAATTTCTAACATCTAACATTGCAATTTCTTCCCTTTTCTAGGCAACAGTGAAAATGGCAACAGAGAGTGAACTTGGCTATCTCTCCCTTTTGGACTTCCTACTTTGCCCCCATGGCACAGTTTCTGCACCAGGGGACATGAGCACGGATGAGGCCCAGGAGCTCGCTGGAGCAGAACTCTGCAGGGCCTCGTTCAGATTTTATTGGACAGATTTTGACTGCCGCTGGGCTGGAGCCACCTTACCATGAGGTGGTTTGCGATGGTTGTGCAAACATGAGTGTGTGTGTGTGTGTGTGTGTGTGTGCACGCATGCACACACACCCAAGAAGGTGTTTGTGTACAAATAGACACATATAGACATATAGAACCTATAGCATTTAAAGGGTAGATCTGTGACTTTGCTAACATTGCCACATAAGCCATTGTAATATTCCTAGCTCATGCCTCTTGATGTTCTGACCCACAACGACTTCCCCAGTTGGGGCACTGCCCTGAGACATCCTCCCCCTGCCTGTTCTGTGAGCTTATCGTGTCTTCTTTCCACGCCCCATAGGGGATATTGAGAGAGCACGTAGCCTTGCGCCTTGTGCCATTCCAACATGCTTCAGGTGGATCCTCAAGCACTGGTACTTGTGTCTTGCCACAGGGGGCAAGCTCTCCTTGTCCTTTCTTCAGTGTGCTGTGTCCAAATATCAGGTGGAGTTGATGGTCCAGCAGACACAATCAGTTACCAGAAGAGCCAGAGACAAGTGTAGGCCAAACACCTGAAACAGGTAGGGGAGCCAGCTGAAGTGAAGGTCACATTTAATGTTTTGAGCAGGGAAGACTCCTAGTCTCAGCAGCCATTCCCCCCCCCTTTTTTGCTTATGTTTTTCACTGACCCTGTCACTCAGCTGCATCATGGTTGCAGAACTCAAAATTGTCCCCACCCACCTCCTTTTGAGAATCACAGTCTGGTCCCAGGTACTCAGCTCTGCTGGAGACTTTGCCTTCTGTTTATGGGCAGGATCAATATGAGCAGCCCGGAAATGGTGTCTGGATGGCCTTCAGCACTTCCTATTTCTCCTCCTCAGCTTTGAGAGCAGCCTGAATCCCAGGAGGTGGAATGGGAGTACAGGAATTTAAAAAAAAACAAAAAACTTATTTAAATGTTTTGCTGGTTGGGAGAGACTGTGGTGCTGAGACCTACCAAATGCTATCTTCCCATTTTCTGCCATCTTCATCCTTTCTCTATTACAGCATTATTCAGGGAGTGCCTCCCAGAGAGCCATGATGTGACCTGCTGGGAATGTGAGAGGAATACCAAGTCTTAGGGGTGGGTTTTTCTCCAAACTTCGTCACCCTTCAGCTGCAGAAAGAAATGCCCGGCAGATGCATAGCAAAAGCAGATCAAACTGCCATTGAAACTATTTTTGTACAAAGTTTACCCATTACTGTATCACCTGCCCTAACAGAGTGGCAGATTTAAGTTATTGTTGCCAAAGAGATGTAAAGAGTTAACTTTTATCAAGGCATCTTGGGCAAGGGTGGGGGGGGGAACAGCTGGGGGAGAAGGAAAGTAATAGTTTTGGGATTATTTTGTTTGTTAGATTTTGATTAGTTCAAGGTTTAGGATAATTGTGCAATTTGGACTGTGGGGTAAAATGGAAAACAAGTCAGAGGCATGTTGCACTTAGGAGTTGTGGCTCATGGGGACTATAGACCAATCATTGGATTTGGAAATTGGGGTGGTGGTGGTGGTGGTAAAGAGACAAGAGCAAAAGGCAGCTGGTAGCTACTGGGCCATTTCCTCACAGAGTCAGAGGAAACACATAGGAGACCCTACAGAGCTGCAGAATGTTTGTGTGTTGTGCTTCATTGTGCTTCCAGTTTGGAGTATGTTGTGACTACAGGTGGCAAGCTTGGCACTGGTATTGATGCCCGATCCTGGTTCATGAGCACAGCTTTCATTTTCATGGTTTACATAGACATAGCCACGTGTGAGGCAATGATTCATCATCCCTCTATTAGGCAGCATTTAGGTGATAGTGACAGCCAGATTGTTTTGGCTTACTTTCTCCTGCCACCGCTACCCACATCAGTTCCAGCCAGCTGGAGAAGTGTTTCATAAGGTGCAGTTCTAAGTGTAAACTTAGTGGAGCAAGACATCTTTTAAGATGCTGCATGTTTTCAGCCAGTTATGTTTTCTTCCCCCAGAGTCCGAATGCTTTCTATGTCTGACATTTCTTGCTAAGACCCTTTTGTGAGTTGTTTTCTTTGTTCAAAGAGGTTCAAAGGTCACCAGAATCTGTTCACAGCCTCCTTTGGGTGGTGGAGACCTATATGCCTTTTCCTCCACTTCTTCTGAAGCCCACCATGGGCAACACAGATGCCCCACTGCCTCATTTCTCCCCACATTCTCATTTCTGCTGCTGGCTGGTGAACCCAAATGAATAATACTTGTCCTTCCTTGGACTACCATATATTTCCTTAGCATGATCAGAACACAACAGCCTGCTTGTGGGTTTAGGACACTCTTACTTGCTTTTTTTGAACCAGAGTCCCTGAGAAAACGAGTGCCAGGCTCCAGTATGGAGCTGGATTTAGAGACAGCATTCCTGTTCCTTATTGGTTCCCCCCCCTTTTTTTGTTTTTTTGTTTAAGGGTTGGTTTAATTTTGATGCCAACTTGAGAAGGAGGCAACACCGGAGCCATGTTGACCTACACCAGCAGCTACTGAACCCAGAAGCCAGGGAGAGCTGAAGGGAACCTTTGTATACTTTGCTGTCTGCATTTTGCCCACTAACATCAAAAGAGAGATAGGCTGAACTGTGCCCATTCCAAAATTTCAATCCAAGCAAGTCCTTCTGACCAATGGCTTTGGAAAGAAATGTGTGCGAACTATAGATGTTTTCTAGAGAAGGTGTCATTTATTGGCCTCTGGCTGAATGCACTTTCAAAATACTTCACTATCACAAATCAATTTGGGAGCAGCTGAGATGTATGCCATGACACAGGTTTAGTGGAACTCTCCCTTTCCTCCTCATTGGGTGCCAAGGACATTGGCATCATCTGGAAATGGAATCTGGTGGTCTACATTTCCCATCCACACTCCATCTTTTTCTGCAAACCAAAATGGTGGTATATAATTCTATTGAGTATTCAAAGACTGGAACCTAGGTTAGTTAGGACAGGCTGAATGAGGAACAGATAGGGTCTTGACCTCTTGGTAATGAAATTGACTAATAAATAAGAATGTATTGGAGCCCAAGTTAATTCTTCAAACATACAGCTAACTACCAACCACTTTTATGGGGTGGTGGTGGAGGTAAATATCTTGGTCAGAAATAATGTAGCCACTGAAATTCTTAACTAGACAAAGATTAACCAATGAATGAAATTCTTCATTTTCTGCAATATACCCAGAGTTCCATTTCCCTCCCCGGTTAGTTTAGAAAAATCCACAGGTATTTTGGAATACCAGGCTTGTAATAAATCCCAAACTGCACCTAAAAGATCCCAAATTACCCATCCTTACCTGAGCTTTTATATTGCCCTCTATAGTACTGTAACTCGTTTAAAATGCAGTCAGCTGCGTTTCCAATGGGATTTGCCCCATTGGAAGTCCCTTTCCCAAGCTCCCACAAATTAAAAAAAAGGAGAGATTATTATAATTGATTTCTTCCTTTCTTTGCATTCTCAGATCTGTTTTCGGCACCTGGAATAAGAAGAGTTGGGAACTTAATAGGCAGGGGAATAAAGGCTGGATCCACCCATAGGAGGAATCTTTGCTTGCTCATTTTATACGGAGCATCTCTATGATGCTGTCACAACCCACTCACCTCGGCTCTTTTTTCCAGTTTCTTCCATTTCTATTTATAAACACCACAAGTGTAAGTGAGCTTCAACTTTTTAACAGCTTTGACATGTGCTGTCTGCTGCACTAATCTGTTGGGCACCATGCTATTCACTCTCATAGACGGATAGATGAAAAATTGCACTAAAATGCACTTTCCCTGAAAACAAATAAACATTTTAGCAATAACTTGAAATAAAAAGCACTTTACCCCCAACTTTAAAAAGTCTAAAGGGGGAGGCTGCATTTTTGTTCTCCTATCCATATAGCTTTATGTCTATGTCCTTCCTTATGTATGTGAAATATTGCAGAATGTGCACAGGCTGATCAAAGAGGATACCAGTCAAAGGGTGGTTTACGTTTTCTCCCTTCAGGCATTTTACAATGCATCAGAAACTTCAAAAAAAATTTTTTTTTTTTTTACAAAGCTGATCTTCTGTTTGGAATGGATCAAGTTGAGAGCTCTACCTGAATTCAAACCCAGCTAAAACTCTCCTTCCTTCAGATTGAGTCTGTGGTCAGAGAAAAACGTCTGATCTAGTCATATCCTTTATTTACACAGTAGTGTTTCCCCAACCTTAGCAACTTTAAAATGTGTGGAGTTTTAACTCCCCAAAATCCCCAACCAGCAATACTGGCTGGGGATTTTGGGGAGTTGAAGTCCACACATTTTAAAGTAGCTAAGGTTGAGAAACACTGGACTACAATGTGCAGCTTTCCATCCATTGAGATGAGCATCTAAAAAGAGGTCTTACCCAAGATATTTTTTGCTTGTAGCAATAATTGTTTAGTACCAGAAGCGTCCAGTCTGATGGTACCCTGTCCATTTGGGAACATCGCTCTCATAATTCTGCATACTTCCCACCAGTTCATCTTACACACCTGGCGAACCAGTAGAATGTTATTGCCAAATGCAGAACTCTGTTCTGTATTTGGGGAATGTAACTGATATCCGTCTGGACTGATGTAGCTGGTGAAAACGCCTCTGCCCCCCAGAGATGAGGGAATCCTAGGGCTTTACAGATACTGTCATTCCAACTTACCTTTGCATTTGGACATCAAAAGCTATCTTGTACGTGCAAGGATAAGCCTAAATATACTTCCACAATGCCTGATAAAACTGAAGACAGAGCAGTTGCAGCTTTTGTTTATTAAGATTTCCAGTGGCTATTTCTGCCTTGAAATAACAGGCATGTTCTGAACATGCCAATTAACACACCTTTACAATCAGTTTGTATTATATTCAAATCAAGCAGACATTTACAGGGCATGTATAGCTTAGGTTTCTCTGATACTCTGAGGAATGCAAAAGACTCATTAATCCTCATTGTTCTGGGATTTGTTGTTTCCCCTTTTGGCATACTCAGCCTATTATTTCTTAGCCTTGGTTTTTCCCTCTGCAGCGCCATTAATTAATGCTGAGCTGGAATAATTTGTGGATGGCAAACAAGGCTGTACTACATAACAGCCAAAATATCTTGGGAGGGTAAGTGGGTTAGGATGCTCATGGGCCAATATCCATTATCTCTACTGGAGTGACCCAGAATGATCTAGTTATGTTACAGTATTTGTTGGGTAAATATATACACCCACCCTCTTTAAAATAAATATGAAAAAGTCCATCCTGCAAGCTTCAGACAATCCCACCCATTACTTGCTTGGGAGCCTTCTAAGCTCCATCAGAGCAAATGGATCCAACCTCCCAACCTGGACCCCTTTTGGTTCCTAGTCCCACTCAATTTTAGAAAATAGCTCTCAGCATGTTATACAATGCCTGGAGCACAAAAAAAAAAAAAAAGCTGTACACGTCAGCTTCAGAATAATGTGAATAACAAGGGACTCTCCTCCCAATTCATGAGCGTGATGGAAAGGAAGTAGGACTGGGATTGTTTTTGAAGCATTCCAGTGTCTGAAAAAGCCAACTCCAAAGACTGAGAGAGGCAGGAGGAGAAATCTGATCTAGAGTTTTAACATCCATTTCTGAACTCAAGAGAGGGAGAATTGCCACACTGTACTGTATGGCAGGGGGCTGTCATTTGGACAATATTGATCTTCCTCAACTAAAAAACTAGGTCCATACATGTGTGGTGGGGGCTGGGGAAAAAAAATCTGAAGCCCACATGCCAATCTTACTTTCCATAATACATAAAAAGTGAATTTTGCAAAGTATAGGTATGCAAGTTGCAGGATTCACACAAGTACAAGATTTAGATTTATTTCAAAGAGTGCAAAATACCCTGTGGCCTGAGAACAATTAACTAGTAGAATGGCTTACTTCCAAAAGTTGTGGATGCTCCATCATGGGAGATTTTTAAGAAGAGACTGGGTAGCCATTTGTCCGGAATGGCATAGGGTCTCCTGCTTGAGCAAGGAGTTGGACTAGAAGACCTCCAAGGTCCCTTCCAGCTCTTATTTTCTATTCTGTATTCTGCTACTGTGATGAACAAGAGACTAGAGCATAAAATGCCTTTAAGAAAAGAGTAAAAAGCAAATGAGACGTAGATCTTAAACCTCAAAGCTCAAAGAGACAGTCCTCCTTCCCTTTTTGCGACATATCTTAACTTGCCACAAAACAGACTTTTACTACAAGAGACTCTTCTAAACAGGTGTGTGCAAGTGCCTAGAGACCAAGCAGACAAAGCTCTTTAAAAAACCCTCCTTAAATTGAAGGTTGCTATCCATTATTGCATTATTAACCATAAAGCAAAAGTTTGGAAAAATGATTTAAAAAATCAAGTAATGTTGGCTACAGAGCAGTGGTGGGTTGCTCCCGCATCTTTAGAACCGGTAGCTCTGCCCACCCGCCCAGACATCATAATTGACAATCTGCGCATGCGCAGAAGTGCGAGTGAAGTGTGCACACGCTTGCACTCCCGTTGCGAACCGGTAGTAAAGGTAAGTAGAACCCACCCCTGCTAACACAGCTGTACAGTCATTTACTTCTTGGGCAGGTTTAATCCAAATCCAACATTCATTGGAAAAAATTAAAAGAAACTATCCTCCAAGATTCGTTTTGATTTATGAACGAGAAGCCTCTTGGGGGAAAAACAAATTTAATGGCAGGGGTACTACTATTCCTTATTTTACCATGGGGAGATATTTGGGAATCAGAATTGAGAAGAATTTGAGGAGCCATGGGTAGATCTCCTCCTTGAGTAGACATTTGAGGCAAAGCAAAAGGAGAATTTTACCAAGAAAAGGCAGGCCACTGTTGAGTATTTCCAGATTCTTAGCATCCCTCAATCTCATTGGGTCTCACATCCTCCAAAAAATATTCTGTGTAGATGTCCTGCACCTGTCTGGATTTTCAGCAACTATCAGGCGGTATTGGTCCACATTGGTACATGCAGAAATGATGGTGCTGGCTTTAGATAGTTGAGAGCTGTACCCATGCACCTGGAGGGGTTTTGTGTGTGTGTGTGTGTGTGTGTGTGTGTTGTGTGTGTGTGTATTCTCATTCTTCCACATTAAATGAAATGCAAATCTGTCAGCTACACAGTGTGATTCTAGCTTGCCACTGCCATATTCCATTTTCTAAGGCAAAGACAGAACCATGACAAAAGAGCAGGTACAGGAAATAGTAAGTAGTTACAGCCAAGTTTGGTCTCTTAAGTTTCATTTCCTTGATTTCCTTATCTAGTTACCTTTGAAAAGGCTGCCCCTATAGGTATATGGTCTATAGTAACAGACAGCTGTCAACCCCTGAGAGACTGCATGAGGTCAGAACAAGAGCTATGTTTTGGGTTAATGATCTTCTTTGAAACAGAGAGAAATAGAGAAGGGTGGGCTATTTACAGTGTATTTTATTGATACGGGTCATAATTGCTGTATTTTTTATCAGTGCTGAGTTCCATACAGCTCCCAGCATGTGTGTCAAATACCATTGGTCCAATAACTATTAAAAATAAAACATTTTTAAAATAACATAACTTTTGCTTGTTCTCCTCCTCCATCTGTGTTTTGAAGACAGCAGGAAATAATGAAATTATGGATGGTACTGATTCACCCAGAAGTCTTGAGAGACATTGAATACATCAAACCATGCAGTGCAGTAATGGTTTGCATATAAATTGACCGACCCTTTCTTGACAAAGGCTCCTATGCCTCAGGTAACTACCGGAGAGAAAAAACTGGAAAGATTCAGGAAAATTGGCACCTGCATTGCTATGCTTGTATTGCAAAACGGGTCAATTTACTACTGTGAAAACTTCTTGGAACAGCTGCCAAGAGGGGCAACACACCAGCTCAGGAATAGTTGTGATCACTTTTTCAAAGCCAAATCGCAACATAGCTCTAATAGCTTATTCCTTGGGTGACAGAATTAGAAACAAGTTATTTTCCTTCTCCAGTTGATGCCCAATGCCCTAAGAGATGAGAATGTTGAGTGGGGAAAAACTAGCTATTTTCAAGAATTCACGGAGGCATGTCTTCAGAAATATTTAGTAGGCTTAAACCAAGTTCAACCAAAATTGGTTGAATTTGGTAATCCAAGGCTAGATCTATTTCTTAACTGGGTAGGAATAAAGCATGGATGACAGCCACTGGATGAGAATTATACAGGGATTTTTTTAAAAGATGGGGCAGCATTTATTATTTGAAACTTTTATCACTTCCAACTAAGAAATAATAAATTATTATTCCTTCCTGCAGCTATGTAAATTGGGCACTGACACTTGGGCTCTAGTATTATTTGGAGCTTGGTCTGGAAGCTCTTTTAACACTCCCCTTGATGTGGCATAATAGAAAAAAACTTCATTTATCTACCATAGTTTCTTACCACAATTTCCTTTGATGTCAAGAGTCAACTCTTGTTAAAATGTCCAATCATTTTCTGATTTTAATGCCACTGTATGGGTGATTAACCAATCAGAGGTTCAGTATTTTGTAATTTTGGAATTACGATTAAAAATGCAACATGCTCAAAGACACCGCTGTGGTATTTTTGGAGGCTAATTTCCCTGCAGGAGGCCAAAGCATTGTAAGCACCCCCATCCACAAAAGGAATAAGCTATTAGAGCTATATGATGATTTGGCTTTGAAAAGGTGATCACAACTATTCCTGGGCTGGTATGTTGCCTCTCTTGGCAACTGTTCCAAGAACCCTTGCACTTTTAATAGTAGGGTTCACAGCATCAGTTCTTAGCATGTTCCTCTACTGCTGTAGTTATCATTAGCCTGCATGCCAAACATTTAGCTGGGCAACGAGGGGAGAAAGTAACATTCAGAAGGTAATATTCCTAGTTGTGTGTAATTCACTGGCTACTGGCCCATTCTTTCATTGTTACTAAGAGCCAGCCTCCCAATGCTAGTCAAGGTGGTTTCCAATTGTGTTCAGACCAGGTATGTACTCTTATTCCACTAGACCTTGGCTAGCCTACTGTTGTTTTTCTTGTGGCACAAACATTGGTAAGTCACAGGATACGTTTCCATATCATGGAATAGGTTGTGGCTGTGACTATAAATTATGTCTGCTTATTCCCAAGATCCACCACATATACCAACTTGCTCCACTTAATTTTTTTTTATTTCATTTGAATTGATAAGCCACCCAACCCCAATTCCAATTTTAATGGAAGATGTACACCATACCCTTATCACACTGCATTAGAAATTAAGAGTTAGGCATGGATTGTTTCAAATCTTAATTTCACATGATCAACATGAAGGTAAGAGAGTGTTATAACATTGTTCATCTGGGAAAATTAGTTAACCAAGAAATGTATAGGCAGCACAAACACACCATAAGACCACCATTGCCCAGGAGAAACCTCTTTTAATCTTCAAGTCCTAACAAAAGAGACTTTTGAAGAGCATAAGGTGATCAAGTAACATATCTAAAGCAGCTTTCCCAACCTGCTGCTTCCCTCAAGCACTAGGATTACAATTTCCAAAACTCTCAGCCACATAATTTGATTGAATTGCTCAGATGCATCTTCAGCTATGTTAGTGCTTTGCCAACTCTTACATATAGTACAGTAACAATTTCCCATTTATTTCATGCCCCTGGACCTGTTTAAGAAAAAATATTTAAATAGTTCAAATAGGAAGATATACCAATTAGGATGGAGAGAAGGGTATCAAAAATCATGAATTTTAAAAGTGACTACGATCAACCTTCCCTCGAAAAACATTTGCAGATGGACCCTCTCCCTCATTTGCTATTGCAAGTCTTCATCCTACCTTTGAATGAAAGAAGAAAGGCAATATTAGGCTCCATTTTCTGGCATCTCCTACGTAAAATGTTCCCACAAACCGTCCCATTTTCATAGACTGGGCACCTAAAAAACCAAACTGAGGTAATCTGAGCCTCAGCTAGCCCATTCTACTTTCTGATTCTACTGGATAGTTCATCTTGCAAGAGCCAATGTTTGTTTGGAAATCTTTGTATCTTTTGTCTCATATTCAGTCTAGGAGCTGACAGCCCTGCCACCCCTCAGCTCCATTTGGCGAGCTAGAGTTCCTATTTGCCTTGAATCATCTAGTTTCTCAGCCTTAGTAACTTTTAAGATGTGTGGATTTCAATTTACCAGGTTGAGAAACACAGATCTAAATAATTCTAGAGCAAAGGGTGCACTGCTGAAAATATTACGTAAGAAAGGAATTGGTCTGAGAGAGGAGCAAAGAAAGGAGCTAAAAATCAATCTTCCTCCTTAAAGAAAAAAATAATTTGGCAAAGTTTGACTTTTTAAAAATGCATACACAACACATACAAACAGCAATTTTTCAAAGCAGTACAGTGTGGCTGAGAATCTTCATTATATTTATGTGAACAGAGACCATAAAGTAAATGATTCAACAACTGGAAAAATGATTTTCAAGAAAGAACTGTAACAGAAGAAAGATGCAATAATAAAAAAAGGCAATTGTAGCACGTGATCAAAAACAAGGCCGGTGAGCTTCATCTTTTAAATAATTTTCCTTAGGACTGTGGCCTTATCTGAACTATCAGAGTTAGAGATTTTCTGTAATTGATTTTTAGCTAAATTTCTTTATATAAAAATATAGATTTTGAGATATTTATATCTGTGCATCATAAGCCACAGGGAAATGTACAACTCGTGATGGAAATGCTCACTAACAGAAAGTCTCCAAGTTTGCATGGGAGACTTAAACAGGATCTACGTAGCATGCTAAGCCACAGTTTAGCTTTGATTTATTGAATAAACCACAATGATTGGGTTCACTCAACACATTAAGCCAGACAATACAATTCTGGGCTAAGTGTATCACAGAAACCAGTCGATGTTTTTTCAGAAACAGAGAGCACAGAAACTATGATCACATTTGAACTTGAATGATTTTAATGATAAGATTGGTAAATTTATATTCAAGGCAGCTGTGACTGCTTTTTAAAGCCACTGGAAAAAAACAAAGCAGCTGCAAATGACTTCAGGTTGTACAAAGGATCAGATGAGGGAGGCTGTTTAATATTTGGCCAAAGTTCACACCAAAAGCTTTGCCACTTTTAGAGGAAAAAAATACCATTATTATCATTTCTTTCTGGGAAGAAAAAGCAGCAGCTCTATATAGATTTTGTACAGTCAGCTGGGGGCTACTATTATGTAGAATAAGGCAGAAATTTGCATCCAGCATAATTCATTAGGGTTTGTTCAATAAGAATTTAAAAGGAAGAATGGGTAAATGGCATAGAAACTGAACACAGCTCTTAAAAATTGACTGCTAATTTGCCTCTTATCACTCCATATTTGAAGTCAAATGTATTTTAGGAATTGAGTTTGTATTGCTCATTATCACCAGACTCTGGCGCTATAACTGGAATTCAAACAGTAAGAGCACTCCAAATAGTGGGTAAGTCCAGTTCCATTTTGATAACTATTGTTTCCTAGAACTACTCACTAATCTTGGGTTACATAAATACAAGGAGCGAGCTGAATGATCTTTGTTACATCTTACCAGACTTTGAGAGCCAATAGGACAGAACGTAAGAAAAAAAGCTTATTTGTGACTGAATTAACATCTACTTTAGAAGGCAAGTGCAACTTAAAAAAACAAACAAAAACAAACCAGGAATACAGTATTGGCTTAGTCACAGAACAAAGGATCTTTCAAACAGCATGGACCTAATACCAAGGCAGAGGTCAAGCTGTCTAAACTAACTTACTTTGGCAGCAGAAGACACACCTGCACCAGTCAAGATGTGTCAGTAAGAAAACACAGCAAGGGGAGTTTGGGCACTGTAGGACTAAACTAGCTTTTTAATGGTCCCTCCTTGGTCTATTTAAAGCTACAGAGAAATGAAACAAATGATCAAGCAACAGATGGTGCTAGTTGCACACAGAAAATATTCCTTTCCTGCATAACATTCCCCAATCATCCTAATATGCTGGAAAAGGTATGCACAATAACTTATCCATCAATGGGCCTTGCTGCTTAAGGATCATCACAGACAAGCAGGATAGATGTAGGACCATTAGGAGAGAAAAGACCATTAATAAAAATTAAAGTGTCAAATTGAGACAATTGCTTTGAGGAGCCCAGCTCTTCTAAACATTGATTCAGTAAAACTTTTACTTTTATCCAGCAAAAGTCCAATGCAAGGTAAGGAGGGAGCTACCAGGAAACGCTTCAGAAGATTCAAGTCCGTGTCAGTTCCAAATGTTGAGTGAGCAGGACCTGGGTCGTGCATTTCATCTGGTGGCCTTAGGTAGCCCCAAAGTTTCCCTTGACAGCTCTGAAGTCCTGTTCAAATCCATAGGTTTTGATAAAAGATGAAAAAGGATTTCCAGGAGAAGTTTTAACTGACAAACATAGGACACTGCAAAACTGCAAGGTTCATCTATCTCCGTGGCTATTCTTAAAAACGTTTATGAATGTTGCATATAGCTGCAAAAGCAAAGAAGGCGGCCTGCTTTCTGGTCTATCTAGGTCTCCACCCAAAATAGCAGCGTAGCATCCCTTTCAAAACTCATCGTTCTCCAAGGGTCAAGTTTCTCTTCTATTTCTAATGAGCAAAAGGAAAAAGCACACCAGCATGCCACTTAAATGCCGTTTAACTACCAAAAACAGAATTGGAAGGAAACACATGTAAACTGTACAAGGACCTCACAGAAATACAACACAGGTGAAAGGTGAAATCAAAAGGTGCAAGGTACCCGCCGTAACCCAACATTTCTGGATCAGCTGATGAGAGGAGCTGAACGATCATTTGTCACCGTTGGTTTGAGCTGGACGTTGGCAAAAGGATTCCTGTAGAGAGAAAGCAAGGCATAGTTTTAGCCAGAACTGTTTCAGGACACAAGCGGTCTGTATTGACAAGGACAACAAAACGAAGTGGAATGCAAGGATGACGCAAACACCAAACAAAGATAACTACAAACATAGTCCCCACCACAGCCAAAGAAACATCATGTCTTCACAAAACAAGCAACACTATGAATCTTTAAACAATGGCTTTGCCTGGAAAATGTCTTTAGCCTAAATGCCAAGTTTCAGTGACAAACTATCTCAATGTTTCCTTTCTCCAGCCAAGCTTAAATGCATGGAAGACTATCCAGGACATGGACGGATGAATAGACACTGCTTTGTGTCATGCAGAAAGCAACACACACACACACAGCTGTAAATAGATGTTGACCACTTCACCCTTCCCTGATCACTCACCCACAAATATGTTGGACTACAACCACCATTAGCCCAAACAAGTTAGAGCAATATGCATTGTAGCCAAACGCGCTGGGAGGTGTTGGCTTCAGGTCAAGTGATGGGATTGGAACGTAGGTCACAGTTGCCATGGGCATGACATCAGAAAATTCCCTCCTCTTATTGAAACAAAGAAAGTAAGCTGCTTTCTCAGAAAAGTTATCTTGGCAGGAAGACAGTATAACTCTCCTTTAGGGGAAGGTCGACTTTTGTCTTTGTTTCCTGACCATACCTCATTCACTGTTGCTCTCATCACAGGATCTCCACTGTGGCTCTAATCAGTATGAATTTCTTCATGGAGAATTTGGGTATCATCTTGTCATGCTCCACATTCTTGGAGAGTAGGAGAGTCACAGGGTATTTTTATCGGTTCTGGACTATAAAAATCTGCTTGCCTGTAGATTACAACTAGTTAGATGATCAGCTACTAAGACTCTTGGAAGAAATGTTCATGCCAGTGGCAACATGCCCCAGATCCAGGAAACACAAACAGCTTACAGCCCATGAAGCTTGGAACAAAAATACAAAAACAGCTAAAGAACGTAGTGTGCGTACCTTCAAGACATAGGCTGGTACTAAAGATTCTTCTGATCAAAATATTGCATGTTTAATCATGTCAATCTTATTTTAATGGCTTCCTTTCTCAAAAAAGAAAAGTGCTCTTCTATTTTAAGTTGGGCAATGTAAGAAAAAATCATCTACTGTTCTTCTGATAATTACTGAGGAGTGTGGATAAATATGCAACCAAAGTAGCATCACCCATGACCAGAAGAGACATTTCGGAGAGATGGAGAGGATTCTGACATTTGTGGAAGCACTCCATGTCCAATAGCAACAGAAAAATCCTGGAACTCCATTTCCACATATCTTCATGAGGACTGAATACACTCAGTGGATAGGAATAATGGCTGACTGGCAGAAGAAAGGAGGAATGGAATGGCTCATCTGGAAAGAAGTCTTAGCTGGTTGACTGCAGTCAGGAATTTATTTATTTACTTATTTTTTCAATCAATCAATAAGCATAGCCACCCATCTCAAGCCAGTGAGTCTTGGGGGGGCAGGGTGAACAATCATAAAATTATTCCAGAAAGCCACATTCTGTTGCAGCTCCAGCTTGTTCTTCCATAAATTCAAGCCATATGATAGTAGAATTTCACCTCCCAATTAGAATTCTAGGTCTTCTATCAATTGGTCAACCTTCATGTAAAGGAGGAGGAACCTGTAATTTATTTCCAGGTCTCCTGAGCAATCAAACTATTACCAGATTATTCTTCTCCCCACCACCCCAGCAAAATGTCACCTGTTATATATATATATATCAATAATATATATATAAATCTACTTCTTAACAAAGATTGGGAGAGCAACAGCTTGCCCTGAATAGATGCCAAATGTTCTGGAGGAAGCAATGCTTTCTTTGTATGTGGGAGCAATATATACATACATACATATGTACGTACGTACGTATGTATTGCTCCCGTATACGTATGTATGTATGTATGCATGCATGTATGTATGTATGTATTGCTCCCACATACAAAGAAAGCATTGCTTCCTCCAGAACATCTGGCATCTATTCAGGGCAAGCTGCTGCTCTCCCAATCTTTGTTAAAAAGTAACTGTTGTGAGTCTACTTTACTCTCAGAGTGGGCAGGCTGTTCCACCATGGACAAATCTAGAACCAGGCTGAGGTTACAGAGTGATGTGGGGGAGACACTTCCAGCCAATTACAGATTCCACTTCTGATCTTTCCTGGCTCAGAGTGGCTGGAGGGGGCGTTGCATCAGCTGTTCCCCAAGAAGCAACAATTTGCAGAGTGTGGCTCAGCTGCAGAGAAATTGTGTTTGAAGACAGTCCAGACTAATTGGCCTTTGGCCAAAGAGAACAGATTTCAGATCCTACAGTCTTCTCTCTTAAAATAGCAAGCAGCCTACTTTCTCTTTAAGAGACACAGCTTGTCCGAGGGGTAGCCAATGCACTATACACACAAGCAATTTGCCTCTTTGTAATTTCTGCTCTTTTGGGCCACACAGATTTTCTTCTCTAAAGACACGAGCAGTGGGAATATTGCATAAAGCACCTAAAAAAAAAGGAGGGATTTTTTTTTTAATGGATTCCTTTCAGTCCATATTTGCCAACTCAGTGATAGGGATTTGAAGACTGTTTCTGGGGACATTAGATGGACCCTCTTCAGAATCATTCACCAAGGCAAGATATATACAGTATCCCTATTTGTGAAAGCTACAAGCTACATGTACAGCAGGGCTGTCAAACTTGCAGCCCATGAGTCACAATACGTCACGTGACGACGCCGTGACGCCACAAGTTTCACACCCCTGATGTACAGCATGAGTGGAATGCTCCTAAAACAATCAAAGTATTTTATTTTGGTGGTAGCATTGTTTCATTTGATTTTCTTTATTTTGTGCTCTGTTTTGTGGGGTCTACAGAATGTCAGGTTTTCTTTGGTCTTATATATTTGTGACAAGAAAAAACGTCTGTGCAGTCCTGTATGTGTCCACTTTAAAAAAAGTTCCACTGAGTTGAATTAGGCTTAATCCCATGTAGATGCAGGATGGATGTTTGCCATAAAAATAGGCAAAAGGCATTTTCCACCCAGCAAGATCAACCTGAAGCCAACAGAAAGGAGCTTGTGTGTTCAAAGAAAACAGGTGGCCCACAATTATTTGCAGAGGAAAGAGAAGCTCAGGGGATTCATAATGTAGAATGCAAATGGATGCTTAGTGTAGCAGCTATATAGTCAGGGTGAGGAGCTGAATTACAATTCGTAGCAGTCCTGCTCACATGGCTAATAAACTGGGATCCTGGGAGATATAGTTCAGAAACATCTGGAAACTCTAGTTTCCCCATTCCTGGCAACTGATGCTTGGTGCATGAAATGAGCAATTTCTTATTGGAAGGCCAGGGGGTATTGCTTTGTCTAATGCTATTGAGGATTTTAAAACCAGTAGTGCATTATCTTTGTTTAAATCAATTGTAGGCACTAATACGCACAGGGAGTATTAGTGCCAGGTACCTGCCATACTCCCTGACTTAATTTTAATTTTAAAAATTAAGTAGGAAGATGGCAAAGAAGATAATATCTCTAATTTCCAAGAATGTCTCTAAAGACCAACATAAAATGTAAACTAGGATAATATAGCGCATCCAGCAAGAAGCAAGAACTTTCCCAGTTTGTCACACCCACCACAACAGATCATTCACTTGATGGTAGTCCTTTAAGTGTGCCCTTGAATTTCAGCGTGCCTATCTGATAAAGGGAAAAAAAACCCACCATCTATTTCTGGCCTAAACATTTCATATATTTCTTCTGAATGCAAGCCTGCTGATGGCATCTTCTTTTTGCCAAGACTGTCTAAAGAAGCAGCCTACATTTTTTGTAAGTTTTCATAAAGCATGATTCCATGAGATAAAGAGAAAATTCAGCCCATATATGTGCTCTTTTCTGGGTTCGGAAAGTCACCCGGTACACGATGATCCAAGTCTGAGCTTGTTTGTTCTAAACCATCAACAGAGAAACAGAAAACAATTAAATGACCTGGCTTCCTCCTAGGTTTAATTGACGTACGGAGATTAAGCATCTAATTCTCACAAGAACTGACCTTTATCAGGTGCTAAAGGGAACTTAAAAATGAGGCGTCTCATACACACATCTTCAATTTCAAACTCAACGTGACTGACTACCAGTGGTGTCTCAATAACATACTCTCTATGATGGGGGAAGGAGTTGGGTGGAATGGAGAAATGTTCAAGTCTAAGCTAAATTACAGGAGAAATTGGCTGGTGGCATCTTTACAGTTTGACTCTTATCAGCAGAAATTCTAAGAAAACCACCATATCCTTTAAAAAGCCCTGTGCAAAAGTGTAAGGAGGCCCTTTATTTATGAAAGACGGTAGTCTTCTTCACTGCCTTCCAGTGTATGCCTAAAATAGCGATATAATAGAAGCAGCCCGCAGTGTGCTTAGCACTGTTGCATCTAAAGCAAGGCTGGGTATTCTGTAATCCACATGCAAGTCCTCAAATCCCATTTCTGTGCCTCTGCAGTTCACAAAACCACATTGCCAAATTTAGGAGCAATTGATTTTCCCACCAGGTTTGAGTAGGAAACCAAAAGGGGAAAAACAATTCCTTAAATCTCCTCTCCACACATGATGCAGGGGAAAAAAAACCTATTTATTCCAATGACATCTTCATATCCATTAACTGCTGTGTTTCCTGTAGTTCTTGGCTGATGAAAAGATAATGTAAAAAAAAAAAAAACCAGTTTATATCCCATAAAAATTTATCTCAATGAAGGAAAATGGAGCCCAGAGCCAAAAAAAGAAGCAGGGATTCAATTCTAATTTTGGCTGCTCTCAGAGGCCCTGCTGTGTTGCTCCCAGGTTACCAAATATGCTTCATTGGGAGCTCCATTTTTCCCACATTACCTCTGGGTTTAGAAAACTTAGAAAATACATTTCTTTCATCAGGTTTTTGATTTGTTAATTGAGCTTAGCATCAATTTTAATACGGGTTTATATTATGTTAATTTATGTTTGAAATTGGTTATATTTGCCTTTTAACATTTAACACTATTTGCTAGAATAAAAAGCAGAGGGTCCTCTTTATCATTTTGGCATCTGGCTAGGGTCCTATGGTGCCAAAATGCTAATCACATCTTGTGATGTCATGAGACAACTTCTGCAATGCAAGTACCAAAGGGATGGAGTTTGCCTTAGGGCATCCCAAGATAGGTGGTACCACTTTTCCCTCCTCCTCCAGATGCTCATGAAAAAAAAAATGCTGGCGTGTAAATCAATTGATTAAATAATGGTCATAGAACATCATCAATCATGCCCAGATCAGTAATCTATTAATAAAACAACCATGGAAAGCCATTGCCTGAAGGAAGACTTTATAATATTGTATTAAGAACTGGGTTCAACTTAGATTCAGTTGAAAGTATTTATTTGACCAAAATGCACAAAACTAGACAGCATTTCCAAATAAGTGTTTTCATTCGGCAGAATCAAGTACCTGTGGGAAAAAGCTCTAGAAACTAGGAACTACTGGATAACTGACAAGAGAAAGTATTTCCTCTTATGCTTGTAGGAAAAGAAAGTGTTATTTTGAGAATGTTTGCTAATCCCACAGTAACTGGTCCCCGGTTTGCTTTGCAATGTAATGTAATGTTTCTACGCATCAATGCAATGGCTAAATATTAACTGCAAGATATGAACAAACAGACGTGGAGTATGCACACAATCATTCACATGACTTCTTTTAAAAGAGGCCACAGCTGATAAATCGACGTGTGCTGTAATCTGGAGGGATCTGTAAGCATTTTATGCTATTCCTAAACTTATTGCATGCCGTCCCAATTCAGGTTGGCTGCAGTTACCCAGCCTTGGCTGGTCTCCAAAGAGGCTAAGTATCATCAACTCAGGTTAATATTTGGATAGGAAACTATCAGGAGACCTTCCCATTCTATACTGGGAAATTTTTAAAAAAATACTAGAAGATGATATTGTAAATTACTTACGTATTATTGCCAAGAAAAAGATAAGGGTCTTCCCAGGTGATCTGCAGAAGCAGTAGCCCAACATCTCTTTAGTGAGAGAGAAAGAGAAGTTGGGCTTGCTGTGCAGATATAAGTAGAGAGGCACCCCCTTTCCCAGCCTTTTGGGCACCAGGGACTGGTTCCGTGGAGGGAGGTTTTTCCAGGGACTGGAGAGACTGGTTTTGTGTGCTGCCTTCATCCCATAGATGGGGCTTCGCTTGTTTGTGTGGCCTGGTTTCTGCCATGCCAAGGACCAGTGCCGGTCCATGGAGTAGGGGTTGGGGACCCCTGAAGTACAGCATCATTGCTCTTTTAGACCCATTTGCAACCAGTACAGCTCTTTAAAATAGGCTGCTCAGTTCACAGCAGCAAATTTAATTATTCTATTTTTAAAGCACAGGGAATTAATATTTCCTACTTAGCTAATGCAGGAACTTAAGGTGACCCCCTTCTCCCCACAAGGGATGCTAAAATAGATTATTGAAGCTGAAAGGGAACAAAGAGAGAAAGTATTGAAAATTGTTCACACTGTGACTCACCAAGGAATAGTTAACTATTTTTGTAATAGCAAATGGGAAGGGAGGGGAAATGTGAGAGCCTGACAGGATTTTTTAAAAAAACAAGTGTATTGCTGCTGAGCAGAGATGGAAGCCAAGATGGGGGAGGGAGAGCCATATCTACTTTATTCCCGCAACCCTTTAATCCTAACCTGCGTTTCCTTCCATTTGTCCTAGGGCTTGCATAAAAGTAGCTGTTTGCCAGCGTGACCTCCACGCAAGGCTAAAATTGCAGAGGGATGAAGGGCCAACTTTTAAAAATAAAGCATATTTTATTTTATTTTATTTTATTATTTTATTTTATTTTATTTTATTTTATTTTGTCTCACACTGACTTGTTCCTAAGAATAATGAGGCAAAAAAATATATGACTGGAAACATAAACAGTTTAGAAGAAAAATTGGCTCATTACCTTGTTGGCACTCTCCTGCATTCCTTCACATACAATGGGAGCTTTTATGTGGGCACACACACAAACACACACAAAAGCCATTTGATAATTCCAAGTTTACATTCCCATCCCTGACAAAGGTGGCAATGGGCAATCTGCAGGTACAAGGTCTCTCTTCTCACAATCAGACACCCGCAACTGCAGCTGTATTGTCTTAGATCTAGGACAAAGTCCTGGCGTAAAAGACATGAAATCAAACAGAACCACTCGGAAGAGAAAGAAAACCAAGGAGCCCAAACCCGGTGTATTTGCCCAACAATATTGCAGTAATTACGCAAAAGCTTCAAAACGCTCGCTGGAAACCAGAAACCCCAGTGCCCAGATTTTAAAAGCTCAGTGTAAATTCAAACCCAGGAGCAATGTAGCCAAAAGAAAAGGTTGGGGGGAAAAAAGAAGAACCAAGGAAAGGAGGATTTTAAGGTTGGTGAATATAAGTGTGGATTGCAAAGAGAGATTTACTCCCAAGATCAGAGGATCAAAAGGAACCATTTCCATTAGCCAAAGAAAGGTGATGAAATCCCAACACCCATGGTGCTGTAAGCAAATTGAGCCATGCTCTGAACTGAGCAGTTATCTGCAGAGAATGGAACCCTTCAATAGACTGTCTGCAACTGTTCAACCAGGCTAAGTTTTCTATGCCCTCCATCTCCATCTGTGGTTCCATATGCACCAGCATTTAAAAAGTCAGTCCAGAGCATTCTTAGGAGTGAAGTGTGGGGCAGAGGGAGAGCAGTGGGCACGTGGAAAAAAAGACGGTAAACTTACAACTACTGTATACACAGTCAGGGATACATCTCAAAACCTGGCCACTTCAACATCCGGGCTGTAATGGAAAAATAGAGAGGCTGTTTGTAGACCAGTATGTGGCAAACACGTATAAATCCATTCTAATGGAGAGGGGACAAGGGTAGGTTAAGGTGGAGCCTTCACTGATCAGGCCCCTTAAAAACAAAACATCCAGTGGAGAGATGTTTCTTGATTAGATGTCAGCTAGTATAGTATAGACTTTATTGTCATTGTACATCATGTAAACAACAAAATTGGTTAGTTTGGACTCAAGAGGAAAGAGAGTTCACTTTTTTCACCTTTGGCAAATTTAATTCTTTGCCCTCAAAGTCAATGGCAAGAGAATTAAAGAGAAGGAGGAAATTGTTTTCTTCTCAATTGCCTCAGGTTTAAAAAGAGATGACTATGGCCTGGCTTCTTGCTAGAGAAGATATTTCACTTAACACACTTCCCCACAAATGTAAACTTTTCAGATATATTCTTTCAAAAAGCAGCCACCTTTTTCCAGGTTACAAGTAGCCCTTGACCTATGACCAAAATTTCTGTTGCTAATGGAGACATTTGTAAAGTGAATTTTGCCCCATTTTATGACCTTCCTTGCCACAGCTGTAAATCACCACAATTGTTAAGAGAGTAACATGGTTAACTGGCTTCCCCATTGATTTTATTTGTCAGAAGGTCACAAAAGGTGATAACATGACCCAGGGACACTGCAACCATCATAAATATGAGTCAGATGCCAAATGTCTGAATTCTGATCATATGACCATGGGCAACTATTTATTGTAAGTTGAGGGCTACCTGTACTTTGAATTTTTAAAAAATGTTTGGAATGATGTTAGGGTTAGGGTTAACCGTGCATATTAACTACCTGAGGAAAACTGGACGTAGCCTCCACAAAGTGAAACCAGGCTGCGGTGGGATTATTTTTGATTACCACATGGACAGCAACATAGTGGGGAAGAAAATAAAAGGCTATATTGTCCCAATATTATTTTGAGTTAACACAGACGCAGCTGAACATATTGTATCTTTAGAAATCTTCAAGGCGCTCTGCTATAATTCTTGCACTTTCCTACTCTGCTGACCTCCAAATATCTCAGTTTTCAAACTCTACATTATAGGGTCAGAATGACTGAAGGCTGGATATTGTTGAAGTTGCAGTCCAAAAGCTTAGGAGAACTATAAACAGAACTGTTTAATTTTTTTTATCTTTAACAACTTTTACCTTTAACTACAATTATTAGCTGTGGCCTAGGTTCTCCTGCAACAAACTCTCAGGTTCTAGTGATCCGATTTTTGGTAAACACTCTGACAAGCTTCATACCTAAGCTCTTGACCAAAGGGGTTTGTTGGAAAGAGTCTTCCACCAGATGTTGGTGATTAGAATTAGAACAGGAACAACTGGTTAACCTTATAGATTCCTGTCCTGGGTTTGAGCAAGTCTCTTTTTCAGACTTGCTTTTTAATATGGAGAACCAGAATTACAGTAACTTGCATTCTCACCGTGATGAAGAGATGACTGAGCATTAAAGGGTAATTGAGAAAATGGGGATTGGGCCAAGAGCCTTTTGTATTACAAATACGCCAGCAATAACAATAGCACTTAGACCCAAAGATGCTTTTTTTCAAGAGGCAACTGGACTTTCGGTTTTTTCTTTGAAGACGTTTCGCTTCTCATCCAAGAAACTTCTTCAGCTCATAGCACTTAGACTTATATACCACTTCATAGTGCTTTATAGCCCTTTCTAAGTGGTTTATAGAGTCAGCATATTGCCCCCAACAGACTGGGTCCTCATTTTACTGACCTCAGAAGGATGGAAGGCTGAGTCAACCTTGAGCCCAATCAGGATCAAACTCCAGACTGTGGGCAGAGTTAGCTTGCAATACGGCATTCTAAACACTGCGCCACCATGACTCTAAACAATCTAAGTGTGAGTGTATAACCTGCCAAGGATAAAGTCAGCTAAATAAATAGACCTTTAAAAAATTTGAAGAAAATTACCCAAGCCCAACTCAATGGAGGAAGTAAAACTTTTATTCAAATATCATAGTACAGGGCACATTTCTTTTCAGCTTGATTTTGTTTTTGTTGGGTATTTTTTTTTGTTTTTGCTTCTTAGCTTTTTTTAAAAAAAGAAAAGAAAAAAGAAAAGAAGAACACAATTCCCCTCCCCACCAGCACTTTTACAGTGTTCACACAGTACTTGTGCATTTTCTGCTTTGTTTTTTTGTCTGTATTCTACAGAGTATCCTTGATGTAAACGTTGTTTGAGCAAAGCTATGACAATGAGGATCTTACTACATATGCCCCAAGTCTATTATATAAAACAAAAGCTTTGTTATATATGTAGAGATAGAACTTTCATATATACAATTAGTCAAGATAATATTGCCAGCTGCTTCCGATACAGATCAAATATTTTGACTGTTTTTTACTTAACTCACATTGGCATCACACAAGGGCATCGGCAAATGTGGTTTAAAAAAAAAGTCAATATGGTAGTTAAGACAGTATAGTCAAAGCCTGGCCTCTTTTTAAATGTGCGTTATATAAAACACAGGTGGAGTTTTGATTGCACCATTGTGGGTCACCATCTTGACTTTTTTTGGACCATATCCTGCAGTCACCCTTGGGTCATAACAGGAATACAGCTTCACACTGTAAACTGTAACCCATGATTTCCCAGCCTTGGAAACTTTATGACGTGTGGACTTCAACTCCCAAAATTCCCCAGCTGCTGCTGGCTGGAGAATTCTGGGAGTTGAAGTCCACACGTCATAAAGTTTCCAAGGTTGGGAAACCCTGTTGTAACTCAAAGCTGAAAGCCTTCAGTCTTTAGCATAGCTCATGTGTCTGACCTCCTGGAATTTGCAGTCCCAGTCAGTAGCCATTAGTTTCAATCCTACTTTGTTTGCCCCTGAAATTAGTTAAGACACATAAAGAAGACTGAAGGCTTTTTTTTTTTTTAAGTAAAGGAACGTAGCTGAAATTTCAGCAAAAAGAAAAAAAGAATCTCCATGTTCAGAACTGGAACTTCAAAACATAGGCAGTTTGGCCCTCTCTCTCTACCAAGACAACAAAAAAAACCCTCCAGTTTTATAAAGAGAATGTCTTTGGATTGATCTGGCAATCTGCATAATACAATAGAAGAGGCCTTTCCCCTCCCTTTTACTCCACTGCTCTTTTCAGCATAACTGTGAGGTAACAAATACCTTCCTACAAAATATATATCATAATAGAATAGAATAATAATATAATATGCTTGTGTCTGTCATATATATAAAACAAAATACTTTACAAAATGGAGACTGGGTTGGTGCTCAGTTTAACAGTCCAATACTTGCCAAAACCAACACAGTAATACCCGAGCAGCCCAATGCCCCTTTTCTTTTGACACAGAGAACTGATTTTGTGATGAAAGTTGCAAGAAAGGATAGTTGAAGTAACAGTACGTACACCATATGCCATGCATATTTTGTTTCCAGATTGTTGGTTTCAAAAAAAAAAAAAAGAGGTTGGGAATCTTGCACTTATTTGGCTATAAATGTGCACCTTGCATTAACCTCTCTGAAAAGAAAGAATGCAATAGGAAAAGTAAAATAATTTAAAAAAGAAAGAGAGGTGTGTGTGGGGGAGAGAGATGCAGCCTCTTTATCTAGTTTATCTCAATTGCATCCAATAGTGACTGTGAAAACTAACATTCCTTATTTGGATGTTTTTCTGCTTCAAAATGGATGGTTGCAAATACCAGGGGATGGGGAAGGAGCAGCTCCTAGAGTTCCTCAAAGAGTGGTCCTCAGGGTCCCAGGGATGAGAGGAGGAGCTGGCACTGTTGCTTTGAAAAGAGGACAGGCAGGAAGGAAAATGTGCATCTCAGTAGAAAGAAGGAAATGAAGGGGATAGAGAAGCAAAACAAGGAAGTCTTCCAAGCAGCAGCTGCCATTTCTAGTCAAGATTCCTTCTCTCACACTGTAGATACCAACGTGCCACTGCCGCTGTGGAACAGAAAGAAAAAGCACACAATTCGGCCCAAACTCACTTCACCAGAAAGAGAGAGAGACAGAGAGATAATAACCAAGAATAGATGGAGGAGCACCAAGTAAGTAAGCTGCAATTCATTGATACTGGAATTAGGGAGCAAGGGTAGAGAGAGGGTGGGCAGGGAGCAATGAGTAGACTATTTGCAGCTTCATTGCCGCTCAGAAAGGGCAGCTTCTCTTGGGTCCATCTAGTAGCAGAACCCACTACATTAGAAGTGGTTGCCATACTCAGAAAACAAAAGGAAAAGAAGATTAGGTTGCTGCTCTGTGACATCTAATTGCTTGGATGTGGATTCTGCATTCATTCCTGGTTTTGTAAGGGGCATTTCCATCACCGTGTCTCAGTTTGAAGGCCACAGGAAAAAAAAGTGTAGTCTAACAAATATGTAACTAGAGATGCAAGAAGAGCCAAATGTGGAATCTACTATTCATTCCTGCTTCAAAAAAACTCATAGTCTGTTTAACTGGGAATATTGCATTTAAAACTCAAGTTGTGTCCCAGTGAACAAATGACTCATGAATGCACTGCAGAAAACGGAGACATGTTGTGTGGTGCACCTTCAGTTAATTCAATCCACCAACCATGTCTGTTGAGAATGCCTACGGCCCTGCATGAGTTGCAATGCGACGTAAAGAATAGTCATATTTTCCTGTCACTGCACACAGCAGGGGAAACTCTGCGGTAATTAACACAGTGGCATTCAATAAAGCTCATCTTCCTTTTAAGGCTGACTAACAGGAAGAATGAAAAAGGATACTTTATGGAATGATGATGTGCAAGAGGTCTGGGCATGAGAAAAAAAATGCAAACAAAAATGACCGCTGCAAAAAAACGTAGAGAAACTGATATCGTACAATGTACAGAGGAAAAAAAAGGATGATTACAAAGAAGAGAGCAAGGAAAAAATGTAACGGAGAAAATGCAAAGCAATTTTGACGGGAATCAAAATTGTTTTGGAAGTGGGTGAAAAGGAGTCTCCAGTAGTGTAAGTAAAATAATTAATGAATGGTTCAACATTTAGTAGGGAGTAAGTCGTGGATGCATGCTGTGTCCTTAGTTGTTTAATGTATTTATGAATAAATATATAAGTAACTAGACATTCTGTCACCCATTGAGTCATTGTTTCAGAGATATTTCCTTACCTAAATAGAGAAACAGAATAACTATAGGTGGGCAAAAAACCAAGAATGATTTCTTTCATCTTTCTTCCCTCCCTCCCTCCTTTCCTCCTAGAATTCCTGCCAGCTTCCTCATTTGCTTTGTTTGTGGGAAGCTTTCCAGGGAGAAAGTCTGTGGGCAAACTGGCAGGGACTTGCAAATCCAGGGTTAGCAGGCAGGTAAGTGGCTGTTGCCAGGTAGGAGAGTGAATACAGGAGTGTGGAAGAGGAATGGTGTGGATTAGGGAGGGCATGTGGGATTGTGCAGGAGGTGCACAGGTTGGGTGTGCAGGGGTGTGGTGCATGTTGGGAAGGGAACATGGAGGTGAGCGAGAGGTGCCATGTGGATTGGGGCGGACACACAGGAATGCAGCAGAAGTCAGGAAAGGAACATAAGGATGTGCAGATGGTCATAGTGGCACAAACACAGAGGGGCTGGGAAGGTTGTAGGTGTGGGGGAGACTTAAACTGAGCAACCTGCAACTTTTCCTGCTGGCCTCTCCACTGACTTGTGGGAAGCTGTCAGGAAGCGTTGGAAATGAAGATCATGTGACTGCGGCCGAGTGTGGCAGTGAAGTGGTGCTAAAGTTGCAGCAGCACAACTGCACTGAAGTGACCACACCTTTCCCAAATTTCATTCCCAAGGGAGTAACTAATCCTGGCATTCTATACATTAGCCCATTTGAGGTGCCTGGGTTCAATAACTGTTGCCCTATGACCGCACCATTTTGCCCAGTTCATGACAATGAGAAAGACAGATGCTTATGGTGACATTTGAAGACGTGCTGATTGAAAATGTGGGCACATCTAGATTTGCAGAAGATGCTATGCTGTTGGCTAAGGAGCCAAATTATATGCTAGTGAACTGAAACACATTATATGATGCCACAAGCATACAAGTACCAATAAAGGAAAATATTTGTAGTTCATGGTTGAAATGAAGGGTCCTTTGGTACCCTCTGAGCTTGGTTGTTTTCTGGCGGTTGTTTCATTATCCAAACTAGGTAATATCATCATTAGTGCTAGTCTGGGTAACATCATCACTAACACTGATGATGTTCCCCAGTTCAGGTAATGAAACATCTGGAAGGAAACAACCAAGCTCAGAGAACAGCAAGGACCCCTCAGGTATACAAGTCTGAGAATTAATGTATCAAAGATCAATGTAATTTTGTTTGACATGGAAGATGGAGTGAATGAATTCAATTAATTCATAAATAACAACACACACACACACCAGGAAAAGTAGATGAATTTGTGCAGAATGTTTATTAAAGATGAGAAAATGAATGAGGAAAATGTCCTTTCCCCTACTTAGTTATATGGAAGTAAGAGTTGGGAATGTCAGGAAAAACATAAAAGTCAATTGAATGCAATGAGTATAGTTATTTTGGAAAAACAAGAAGAGATAGGATCAAAAACGTATGAACATAAATGTGAACCACCTACAAAAAGGTGACCAGCAGGAAAGAAATGAGTTGAAATAATGAATAAAATTTATAAAACAAAGGAAGAGTGAATGGGTTAACAGGAAGAACACCAAGGAAGTTGTGGTTGAATGCAAGAACCTTCAAAAAAGAGGTGAGAAGTTTAAAGAATGAATGTATGAAGTGGGGTATAGATATAGCAGAAGTCATGCCACAAGGATAGAAAAGTATAATGAGATATTCCTTGTTATTTATTTGCAGCATTGTTACACAGCCCACTCAAATGAGTCTGAGCAAGGTGCATAAACATTTTCTGCATTTTTGCATAATACTGGCTTGAAAGGGAAAAATCATGTGGGCTACATTTCAATTCAAGAAAATAATAATAATAATAAAGGTGAAGATCCTCAGTGTAATTTATATCCTTTTTGTGAAGAGCCAGAGCCAAATCCATTTGAAAATACAAGCAATTATGCCATGCCTTGTTCAAAAAAAACCCCCAGGGGATTTGGCCCCTGGACTCACAGTTCCTGCATGCTTTAAAAACATGTGGTTCTCTGGGAATTTCTTTCATTCAAGCTTCTGTTAGGCTGTGTGACCAATCTGGAAAGCTAAGCCAAGATTGGACATGGGAGGTTGGACTTTAATGGGAAAAATTGCAGAGCTGCATGCTAGACTAAGGAGAGTAAAAAAAAAAAAAAATTCAACTTCTGTATAATTTTCAGGACGCTATATAGGGCATGTCAGTGAAACCACCAGAAATTGCATTTGACGTCACTTTTACAATTTTGCCCAAACTTTAGCTTCTCATATTGAAACAAACTCTGTAGATTCATAATGGATTTGAAAATGAAGTATCTTACCTGCTTGAGGGTCTTGCCCCATAGTCATCCAGCCCCTGCAGAAAAAAATAACCAAAGGTGGGGGGATATCAGCTATGGAACCATAATGCATTTGCCACAAAAATAGCAATGGAAGTTATGCATCTGCCTTGTCCCAACAGCCTCCCAAGGCATAGTCAAAAGTACTTGGTTTCAAAAGTACGACAAAAGACATTGGCCCAAAAAAAAAAAAAAAAAAAAATTATGTTCATTTCACCAGAGGGTGATCTTTTATGGCAGATCTGCGAGATTAAAAATAGTCTCCAACATAAAGACATGCAGTGCAAGGATGCTAAAAAGGGATTGTGAAAAATGCTATATGCACGTTGCAAAAATGCTCTGTGGTGAATACAGCTTGATAGCATTTCAGTTCCTGATGGAGGAAAGCTGAATCCTCCATCTCTTTTTTGCATGTCATCTTCTCTTCAGAGAGAGGTAGAGCAGATGAAGTCAAAGCAGCCATGCACAGCGAAATGCAGCCTGCTACTTTCATTGCTGCTCTCTGATGCATCCAGGGAAGAGAAGAAAAAAATAATAAAAGTGCTTATTTTTCCCTTTTTTGGTGAAGTCTAATCATACAGCTACTATAGATGGAGTGAAACATATTTGAGTCCTACTATGTTGTATGACAGAGTATAGGTAGTCCTTGACATATGACCACAACTGAGCCCAAAATTTCTGCTGCTAAGGAAAACAGTTGTTAAGTGAGTTTTGCCCCATGTTAAGACCTTTCTTGCCACAGTGGTTAAGTTGTTAAGTTAGTAACATGGTTGTTAAGCGAATCTGGCTTTCCCATTGACTTTGCTTGTCGCAAAAGATGATCAAATGACCTCAAGACACTGCAACGGTCACAAATACATGCCAATTGCCAAATTTTGATCATGTGACTATGGGGAAACTGCAACGGTTGTAATTTGGAAAACTGGACATAAGTCACTTTTTTCAGTGTCGTTGTAACTTTGAATGGTCACTAAATAAATTGTTGTAAGTCGAGTACTACCCATACTAAATTGTGAGTCTTTGAACATGGCTGACCTACAACTCCTATCAGTCACAGCCAGCATCATCCAGTGATGAAAATGTTGGGGAACTGAAGATCAAGTAATATCAAAAATGCCACCAGTTCCCGATTCTGGATGTAAAAGGAATCATAATCTTGGATAGTTCTAGGGATTTTCCGCCAGCCTGAACTAATATACCCTTACTCCTGTTCAGACCTATGAAGATATTTGGCTCAACTACAGTACTTGTAATCAGTTTTCACCTGATTACGGGAATAAATATTCTAAACAAAAATATAAAACGTTAGATCAGATGTCAGCTGTTCAGGCAGCCTGTAGTTGAAATGGAAGGACTATACTCAAATATATTCAAAAAGAACCATGGTAGCCTCTTAATTGGTATATGTGTGTATTAACGATAAGTCACATTCTTCTTTTGCTGTGATCCTTGGCTCTGACATGTGTCTAGCCAGAGAAAAAGGGGCTTCTGAATGAAAATTCCTGACTTGAGCATCAAAGCTCGCCATTAAAGAAATCCAACGTCTTTCTAGCTAAAGCCACTATTATTCTGTAACTTATCTCTTCACAGCACACTCTGACAAAGATACTGAATTCTAAAGATCCCAAGAAAAGTATGGACTCTTGTGCTTAGAACATCTCTGGTAGTGTAACCTCTTTACAGCCAAAAATAGTGCCTTCATTCTAATGCTAAGTATTCTTGGGCTGGTACCATTCTTCTCAGTTTGCTACCCTTGATAGGAGATAAACATTTTAATGTGGTTTTCCAACAAAATTAAATTCAAAGTGATTTACCTCCCACCCATCCTTCTTTGCCTACTAATGTGTACATTCTGTTTCTGTGTCCTTCATCTTATTTTCCTTGTCTCAATCCACCCATTAGCTGGTGTTAATCTTCTCAAACCTCTAGAGACACCACATGGAAGGTCCAAGGGAGAGGGGATGGGGGAAAAATAAGCATTGTTGGCCTAAAAGCCATTGAATTCTGCAGCTAGATACAGGTAGAACAGCCATATGTTACCAGTTGGGTATTTACATTGCCCTTTCCTGCCAGTCTTTCTGCCTTACCCATCACTAATTTGCCAATCAGTTAATTCTTTACCTCTACCCATACTGTATTGCTTTTTTGACAGCTGTTTACATTTGTTTTTTAATAAGCCTTTCATCTCACTGGCTTCTTGCGAATGAGGAAGATGGGGAGCCAGGATACACGTGTTAGGTAAGCCACAAAGATGCTTGAGGCAGAAAACAGGCTTTTGAAACCCCAATGGAAACATTGCGTTCTTGGGACTTACGGCTGTTGACCTAGAATAAGGCTGGTAGGAGGCAGGTGACACTGGGAAGAGGCCACGGGAATATTCATTAATTGCACAACCGTAGGGCATAAGGTACTCCTATAAATAATGAATACAAGCAACCTGTTGGCAAGATAAGCCTCACCTGCTTGTACGAATACCTGTGTTACGAAACAGAAATTTTTAGGAAGGTTCACTTCAGCAATGGTGCAACCAGATCTACTTTTAGCAAGGCAGCCTCCTACCTACCCACAATGTACACACCGCATCTTTGATTTTTGGCCCAAGTTTCCTTCTGGTGATCAGCTTCAAAACATAATGGCAACAGTAATGTCATTTGATTGTTGGGTTGCGTGTGGAAGATAACTTTGCAGATTTAGCACAAAGAAGGCAGAATAACTGCTACATCAAAGGAAGTGGCTTACTCACTTCCCGTCCTAGCTTTCAACATTGCAGAAGAATTTTCCCAACAATTAGAGGGAGGCAACAGAAAGAGTTAGCAGGGTTATACCAATGGCATTATTAAGAAATAGTATCACAAGGATCCGACCAATTCAGATAGTTATGAAGTCTAACAATAAGGCGTTGGGTGGGTTTGGAAATCTTGTTGCTCATTGCCCAAAGAACATTTCACAGAATCAACCATCTCATCACAAGGCTTCCCTATCCTACAGGGGAAAATAATGAGTTCAGACGGATATTGCAAGGTGGCTTAGTTGAAAACAAGAGCCGGTAGTCCATCGGTGGGCTAATCTGGTTTGTTCCATTCAAACCACAGTTCACATGGACTAGCTTTATTCAGACATTGGTCTGAGCCACGTTTATGGCTTAGTAGTCCGTGAACCAGACTTCTATGGCTTGTTACCCAAATCACAGTTAAAATACACTTTATTAATACTCAGCTAGAACCCTCTTGTTTCGTTGTACCAGCTGTAGAAAAAGTTGCAGTGCCAATTCCTCCTTTATTCTTCGTAATCAGAGCAGCTATATTTAAATGATCTAAAACCCATTTCATTCTCACCAACCCATGCAGCCATTTGATTTAAGCCATTTTTTGATGGTCAACGACCATTTCAAAAGTTTAGTACAAATAAAGATTTAAACCATACCCAACCAAAAGTAGAAGACATGTACCACTGACACCCACAGAATGGGTTATCTGAACTGGTTCTCTGAAAATCCACCTTCCCTCTCCACTGAAGGAGCCTTAGAATCTACCTCTGGTAGAGTCCCTCCTGATTGGTGTATTCACTCACAATGGTTAGGCCCCCTCTCCTCTGAGTTGAAAAGGTGTCTCACCTGGGGGAATGCTGGCGCCGCCACGCTGTACGGCCTCTGTTTGAAAGTGCTGACATTTGGTGCTTGGAAAGTTCGGGAGGACATGCTGTAGTCGGGAGGGGGGATATCATCTTTGTCCAACAGGTTGCCTGTACTACTGCTTTTCCCCTGGCTGAAGACATAAACACATTTAGTCAGCATCTCCTCTGTGGCAGAATTTTGCAAACAGAGTACACTTTATAAGCCATTAAGACTTGCCTCATTCCTTGCACGCAGACAAAATTAGGATTCTTCAGATTCTCTTCCTCCCACATGTCTTTCTCTATGGGAACCTACTCAGAATCACTAAGGGAACATCCTCCTCCTGTCACCACCAAGGCCTGGAAGCCTTTCCATCCGGGGCCATATGCGTTCATTATGTTTACCACATGAAACACTGTCGTAGGACTTTTTCCACCAAATATATTCACACTGGCTTGCCCCAGATCATACATGCATGCGTGCACACACACATATAGGTATCTCTGTATGTATGTATACACCCACGCAAAGAGGCCCCATGTACATTTTCACAGCAGAGCCTGAAATCTTAGTTTGAGAAACATGAAGCCAGTCTAATAAAATCCTAATGAAAGATAAGCCAGAAGAGGGCAATGCAGGACAGCTCCCGCTTCTGGCTAAACACAGGGCTTGTCTGTTTGAGTATAAACATTATTCAAATGTCAGATGATTGCACTGCATCCATGAAAAAACACTTTCTTACCTCATATGTAATCTATCGCTCCCTTCACTGTCCAACACACGTGTGTAGGAGAAAGGAAACCAGCCTCTCCTATAACACAAGTAGAAAAAAAAGAGAAAAAGATCTATGTTTTTTCCCCCCATTCAGTGAAGGGGATATTGAAGAAGGAATATTAAGCCATTAGAATTTCAGTATTCTGTAGCCAAAGTAGAGATGCCTATAGGCCACTTCTCTCAATACAGTGTAGTAATCTCCAGGACGTATAAGCCTCAAAGCTTAGCTATGCAGTCAAAATGAACCAATCTTCTCTGTGTTCCCATTACAGTATAACCTCAGTTTGGACTATTGACAGCAGAAACAGAAAACAGAATGTGTCAGAGAAAGAAAGGCACAATAGATACTCTCTCATCAGCCCTAAGCCTAAAGAGGACACAGTGAGACCCAGTGAAGTCCAGTTCTTTATTTGTTTCATCTGGTTACTTGTTAGGAAATATTTCCTTAGTTCTAGGTTGCTTCTCTCCTTGATTAGTTTCCATCCATTGTTTCTTGTTTTGCCTTCTGGTGCTTTGGAAAATAGTTTGACCCGCTTTTCTTCGCGGCAACCTCTCTAATATTGAAACAATGTTGTCATGTCATTCTCAGTCCTTCTTTTCACTAGACTAGATAAACCCAATTCCTGCAACTGTTTTTCATGTTTTAGTCTACAGCTCCCTAATTATCTTTGTTACTCTTTTCTGTACTCTTTCCAGAGTTTCTACATCTTATTTATAATATGGAGACCAAAACTAGATGCAGTATTCTAAGGGTGGTCTTAATAAGGCTTTATAATAAGGCATTATATATTATTTTCAATTATAGACCGAATCTTGCCAGACTAAAGCTATAACCTTCTAACCTAATAGCTATACCCTGGTGTTTATCCAGGGTACACCTGAAACTCTTCCTACCTAACTGCCTCCCCTTCCCCTCCCCTGTGCAATCTCTTGTTTTAGGCCCCTCTCTGGAACGTGCTGCCTTCTCCCTGGGAAGCCACAGTGCTCTTGTGGACATGCCACTTCCTCCAGCTGTATATTTCATCTCATATCTGTACTATTCAAAAGCCCTACTCATTGAACTAGCTGTTGAGTACCCACAAAGCTTTCCCCATGCATTCCATTTTCTATGGGAAGAATCCAAAATGCCTCTTAATTTTTAATCCTAGTCTTGAATAAATTAAATATCCTCCAGTTGAAAGAAAGATTAAAAACAACAACAACAACCCAATAAAGAAATTGTCATTTCAAAATGCTTACTAGGTTATTTACTCTCCATTCTATGACATGACAAAGTTTACGAGGCAGTAGTATGGTTGAGGTCATCCTTTCTTCCTATAATTCTTTTTATCTCCAGCAACTCCAGGAAGAATGGTGATGATGTAAGGGAGGCCTGGGGATGAATTGTTTGGCCACTTCTTTCAAAACGTAGGGAACTGTGGACAGCTTTTTAGAAATATGTCCCCTTCCATATGCATCAACTGCACCAGTGCTGCTTCTCTCTGTGCCTTTGACTCTGTCACTCATGGAAGGTCTTTGGCAGGTGATTTACTCCCAATTTACTCCCAGATCAGCTGCTCTTTCAGAAGATAGTCACTTCCCAGTGGTGGGAATTCTTGCAGGATCCAATCTGGGTCGGTCACCGGGACCAGAGATTTTGTCTTCCAAGCTTTCAGACTTGCACTGGAGCCCATCTCCAAAGAATTTCTCTGCCTAGGTTGGAGAGACATTTCCTGAAGATGGGCTCCAGACTGAGTCTGAAAACTCAGAAGACAAAACCTCTGGTCCCAGTGACCGACCCAGATTGAATCCTGCAACATTATCCTCGGACACGTATATTCGCCTTCATTCATGTGGGAATTCTTGCCTCATCTTGCCTTCCAGTTCCTTGGATTCCTCCCACTCCTCCCAAAGGCAGGGAGCCATTACACCTTGCTATCCTTCCCCACCCTGCCAACGTGACAGCTTTGCTGCTTCAGTGCAGTAACTTTGCTTTTTTTTTTTCCTTGCCAGAAAACAAATGTAGGGAAGCAAAGGCAAGGAGGGAGGCTGTGGGGAATAAGACACCAGATGAACATTTTTGAACTCCCCTCCCACTGGCCAGCTGGGCAAAAGCGCCAGCAAGCTTCATGGCAGCCAAGAAGTATGATCGCAACTGAGAATTTAGGGGGTGAAAGCATTAGCGACGTAGAAGTGTCTTCAGACAGATTTATAAGGAACTGAATGTATACTCCACCTGTCAATTGCTTTAAAAATGTTCAAAATGTCACATTACTGAATGTTGATGGTTTGCCAGTGAACTTCAGCAGAGTGGCTTTGGGAATATGCAACAGGATGATGATGCCAAAGAGGGCTGGAGGCATATTCAGCATGCGTGTTGCAATAAGAAGGGGACATTAGAACAGAAGGCAGTATTTGAGTACAGGTAGTCCTCGACTTGCGTTTAGTGACCATTTGAAGTTACAATGGCACTGAAAAAGTGACTTATGACCGTTTTTCACATTTACGACCTTTGTAGCATTCCTCATGGTCACGTGATCAAAATTCAGATGCTTGGCAACTCACTCATGTTTATTATGATGGTTGCAGTGTCCAGGGGGCATGTGATCCGCTTTTGCGACCTTCTGACAAGCAAATGGGTGGGGAAAGCCAGATTCACTTTACAACCGTGTTAGTAACTTAACAACTGCCATGCTTCACTTAACGACTGTGGCAAAAAAGATTGTAAAATCGGGCAAAACTCACTTAACCAAACTCACTGTCTTGTATAGCAACAGAAATGTTGGGCTCGATTGAGGTCGTATGTTGAGGACTACCTGTATCTAGAATGATTTAATCCTGGATCTTTTAAAGGAAAGCTGCTAATATGTGTGGCAGTTTCCCCAAATGGCCACAGGTGTCTTACTGCCATCTGTGCTTTTACTTTGTGAAGCAAGATTTTCTTGCTGTCCAAATTTATTGTGCACAGTCTTACCAGCCAGCTACTTTCACACCCTGCCAGCTTTCCGGGTCACCCCATGGACATTGGACACTTGGGCTAAAAAAACCAATGACCAGATCAGCAGACTTCCACCCTCACTAAGGCTTCCTAATCTGGTTCTGCTAAATATGACAACCATTTGCTTGGCAACTGGCATTTGTTGTTAAGCCAGTCACAAATTGCATGGACAAAGGAGTAAAGGTACGGCTATATTTAGTGAACAATGGAAAAAAGACCGGAGCTCCAGATTTAGAGCTTTAAATACTGAAATGTGGGGAAGGAGAGAAGAAAAAAAAAAGATAAATATTCAGTATCTATGAAACAGCTTACCTACACAACTGTTGCCAAGGAAGACTTTTTTTTTTTTGCCCTAATCCTAAGCAAACCTATTATGCCAAAGCAAACCTGCTGGAGGGATCCACCCCAGCGACAGCTTTTATTCCTAGTTACACTACAGACTCTCCAGGAATTAAAAGCCTACAATTTCTGCCCTCCCTCTTCATTTTTTTTCTGGCATTCCCCAGCGTGGGAGCTGTGTTGTTGAGGGCAGAACTGTTTATTATACATTCCACTTCTTGGCACATCAACTTCGGTTTTGGCTACCAGAGCAAAGATTTCCAAATCAGGGTAAGGAAAAAAGTTCATTGGAAAGTCACGCTATGTTTTAAGCATAAAGAATAATAATTTGTCTTAGGCTCAAAGCTCATCAGAGTTCCCTAATGTAAAATATTGACTTGCGGTGTTTGTCTCCTCTCTTTCTTTGGTTTTGCATTGACTTTTTAACACAGATGCAAAATGCTGGAACTGTCGTTGCAATTTCTGTAGCAATGTCACACTGGGGAAAAGACCAAAACGACGAAGAGGATCACACATGAGACAGCCCACACTTTGCTCTACCTACAGCAGCCCAGCATACCCAAATTGTACCCCTGAACCTTGGGGACAAAAGGAAGCATGGCTTTGGGTGTCTGAGGATGGCTCAGAACAGGCAATTGTCACTACCCTTCCGGGGCTCTGAGAGGTTTAAAAGTTAAGTTACAGTCCATAACATTGATTATGCCCACCACTGTGCTAAGAAAGCAATTGAATCCTGAAGAAAACACCTTAATATCATCAGAAGGAAAGAAAAACCAATTCTGAGGCCCACACACTGACAAGCATACTCACAATTTGGTCTTTTCACTCTCTCCATAATGCCAGCCATCTCGGGCCTCAGGCACTAGCAACGTAATAAGGTCTCCTTCCTTGAAGCTCAGAAGGGTGCTGTTGTCCCCAGCAGCATGAGAGAAAATGGCTCGCACTCTTGTTCGGCCATTTTTTTCTAGTCCTGCCGCCATGGAGCTGGAACGGGGAAGTGTCTTGTTTTCAGCTGAAAGACAAGACAGAGATTGAGTCCACTCCTTTCGATAAATAAACCTTTTTTTCTGTTACTTTACTACTGTGCTAATACTTCAGTTACCGGAGAAAGTTTGTCATTTTTTTTTTTAATAAAAGATTGCAGATTGCAGATTTACAGGTAAGCCTCGATTTGCAACCATTCATTTAGTAACGGTTTGAAATCGCAAAAGCGCTGTGACTTACAACCGGTCCTCACAGTTATGACTCTCACATTCACATGTTTAAAATTCAGGTGCTGGCAACCAGCATATATTTAGGACGTTTGCACTATCTCAGAGTCATGTGACTGCCATTTCCCTGACAGCTTCTGAAAAGCAAAATCAGTGGGGAATCCAGAATCATTTAATGACATGATTCACCAAATAACTGCGGTGATTCACTTCACAATTGTGGCTAAAAGATAGTTAAAATCATCATCATCTAAAACATTTATCTCTTGATCATAAATGTCAATAAATTTGTAAAGCAAAAGAAAATACCAAATTTCCTGATAAAACACCCACACAGATATGATGTACTGAGCAACCCACTTTTTAAAACAAACATTACCTAGTGCTAGATACTTGTGCATTATGTAGAATTATTAATAATCATAATTATGGCATATGAGGGACACGATGGCTCAGTGGCTAAGACACTGAGCTTGTCGATCGTAAGGTCAGCAATTCAGTGGTTTGAATCCTTAGTGCTGCATAACGGGGTGAGCTCCCGTTACTTGTCCCAGCTTCTGCCAATTTAGCAGTTCGAAAGCACGTAAAAAATGCAAGTAGAAAAATAGGGATCACTTTTGGTGGGAAGGTAACAGCGTTCCATGCGTCTTTGGCATTTAATCATGCCAGCCACATGACCACGGAGATGTCTTCGGACAGCGCTGGCTCTTTGACTTTGAAATGGAGATGAGCACCGCCCCCTAGAGTCGGGAACGACTAGCACATATGTGCGAGGGGAACCTTTACCTTTACCTTAATTATGGCATAAAAGGAAGCAATGAAAATTGTCTTTTCGTTATTATGGTTCTTTTAATGGTTATGCTTGAATTATGCTGATTATTTAGCTGTGTTTTAATTGTGTATGCCAACCAGAGTCAGAGACGTGAGATGGCTAGCTATATAAATTCAACAAATAAATAGTAACACAGTACAATAACCTCATCATGTTCCATGCAATGAGTACTTCGTTTCTTGCTGGAACCAAGCAATGCAGCCGTAGTATCGGGGCTCATATAATCTCAGTAGGTGGTAACATCTGGTTGACTTTCTCTGAGCTCCAAGCTAAACAGGGAAGGCCAGGGAAGGCCTCGGATGAGAAAACTTTCATGGAATGCTTGTGCTACTGACTAGCCTGGAAGTTGAAACACATCCCAGCAGGTAGCAGTGGAAAACTACTTCTCTGGTGTTGTCAGGAATGCTGCAAACTGTGTCCATGAAACTGAGCCTGATTCAAAGGTACATTTTACCTTAGTCACAAGATAATAAACATTGCAGAGTGATGTCAGTCTAAAGGAGACATTGTTCACCACTGTTCCTCATATGATGCAAAAGAACCAAGCCTGCTGCACCACTTTGGAGATACAGCTTTGTTGTTCATAGCTTTTGTAGGAAAAAAGCTTCTTCTTCAGGTATGTGCAAAGATCTGACTCATCAACTTCTATTGTGTAAGGGCTTGCAAATAAGAAACAAGCACATCTAATTAATTTCTGACAAAGCAAACTGACAAAAATTTCTGTCAGCAAACCTGATGTAATTTTTGAACTGTCTTAGCTCCCCAAATTTTCAGTGCTTTCTCAATACCAGTTCTTGTTTCTACCAGCAGAAAGATAGAAGATCTAACTGGACCCTTTTAAAAGACTCAACATGAGAAATGCTTTAGAAGTTGGTGCCATTTTTGTGCTTCTATGCCAGCTTTCTCCAAATCTCTTGGGACTGTTGCGATGGCTGGGGATTTAGGGACCTGTAGTCTTTGCATAGGTGGAAAGCCTGGAGAAAGTTGTTTTAGGCCCTTTCTCCTACTGCAGGGGTGTCAAACTGGCAGCCCGCAGGCCGATGCGTCATATGCAGGCCACACCCACCCCAGCTCCGTGAAGGGAAAAAAGGTTGTGAAACGTCACAGGATATCAATGTGACGCCGCGAGTTTGACACCCGTGTCCTACTGTGTTGCTCTATGGGAGTTCAATGGCCATCTCACCCACAATCTGACATATGTGATCCTCCAAAATGGAGGGAAGAGGAGAGAGAAATAATCTCTTACAAGAATGACTTACTGGCTGCATAGCTGTTTTTCGGCATTACACTTTTACGCACAGGGAGAGTATTGGAGTAAGAGTCACTCAATTGCTTCTGAGTTTGTGGTGGGGATAAGGACTTCGGCTGAGGCGGCTTTCGGTCAGGCCAATGGCTGTAATCTTCACCTTCTGAGCCAGAGACGCCATTCATTACTGGAATGGTCTCTTGTGCAGACATTCGCTGGAGAAAGAATGGGGAGAGAGAGAGAGAGAGAAACACAGATATGATGCTCGATACAAGCGTTTGTTTCGCACAACCATTCTGCCTTGTTCAGAAAATAGGTAGTCTACATAATGCTGCCCTCTCATTTTTCTCACCACTTCCTCCTTAATTCTTTATTTTTCCTGGCAGAGAGTTGGAAAGAACAATTACTGATTAAGGAGGAAAAAATGGAGCACAGTGTCTTTTGACTGGCAGACTGGGGAAATAAGTGGTCCCATCAAACGGCTTTAACCTGTACAGGTAGTCCTTGAATTACAACCATTCATTTAGTGACCATTTGAAGTTACAATGGCACTGAAAAAAGTGATTGGTTTTCACACTTACGATTGTTGCAATATCCCAGTGGTCACGTGATCAATATTCAGATGCTTGGCGACTAGCATGTATTTATAATGCCTTGGAGTATACTGTCCAGTGGTAAAATCCAATTTTTTTTACTACCGGTTCTGTGGGTGTGGCTTGGTGGACGTGGTGTGGCTTGGTGGGTGTGCAGGGGAAGGATACTGCAAAATCTCCATTCCCACCCCACTCTGGGGCCAGCCAGAGGTGGTATTTGCTGGTTATCCTACTACTCAAAATTTCCGCTACTGGTTCTCCAGAACCTGTCAGAACCTGATGGATTTCACCCCTGGTACTGTCCTAGGATCATGTGATCATCTTTTGTGATCATCTGACAAGTAAAGTCAATGGGGAAACTGGATTCACTTAACAACAGTGCTACTAACTTAACAACTACATGATTCACTTAACAACTGTGGCAAGTTATAAAATGGGGCAAAGCTCACTTAACATCTGTCTTGCTTAGCCACAGAAATTTTGGGCTCAACTGTGATCGTAAGTTGAGGGCTACCTGTAATATGACCTCAAATCATGGCTCTTCTTGAGCTAGCTTGAAGATATTCAACTTTGCCCAGAAGGACATGCCAAAATAAAACCATTCTTACCAGGATATACCACATTGTATATAATAGCTGTCAGAGTACTATGAGTTCAGCTGCTTTGTGCTCAAGTTTGCAAATCTGTTTAACTTAGAAGTTCTTCACACAGTTCCTGGCCAGCCTATCCCAGGTGTAATCATATTACAGCTGTAGAACTGGACTGAATAAATAAGTTTTGGACAGCAACTGGGAAAATCATTAATGCAAGGTAATGAAAAGAAAAACCAAAGAGCTCTGAATTGTTTAAGTGGAAACCCAAATACTTCAATAGGAGGAAGCATAAATTCTCTTAATCCCTCAATTTTCCTATTGCCACTGAATTTAGCTTTTGAATACAGATGTAAATTTGGAACCCAGTCAGTTACTGACTTCTGCAAGTTTATCAGCAATGTATCAACAGATTTCAGCTCCGGTGTCTTGTTTTTCAAGAATGAACAAAAAAGGCCACCCGAAAGGCTTCTTGTGACAATACATTTTAAATTGTATTCTAATTATTTATTGTAACTTAATATACTGCTTTCAGTTTACACTTAAAAATTAAAACTGAGGAATTAAAACAGTTAAAAGGCCAAATAAAAATCACCCCAACCCTAACTGTAAGTTGCTAGGATCCAATGCCCACCTTCCTAAACTAGAGCAGATGGGGCCAATCTTGGTCTCAAGGGGATAAAGTTGTTCCAAAGTGAATGGAGAGCAATAAGAACATTTTATTTGGGACTCTACCTGTTTTGTCTCCTGAAGGGAAAATAATTAAAGCATTCTCTCTCACCTTGAACACCCAATTCTTTCTTTGCAAAAGTTATGTCCTGAAGGTAACTGGAAGCTAATCCATATATGTAAATACCATCACCAGTTGGTTAATACCAGGACTCTGAAGTATATTGGAAACCTGCTGGCCACCAACACAAATCCTGCAAAACTGGTGTGACACTGCTATGGTAGCTCTCATCAGCCAGCAAAATGGGCAGCTGCTCTCTGCAGTTTTTCAATAATCTTGAAAGGCAGCATCAAGTACAGCACGTTGCAGGATTTATGAAGTTATAGTTGCTAGGCTGCTACTTCAAAAGGGGCCATTTAAAATGTAATGAGGCTGTTAGCCTCCTTAACTCTGCAGGGAGTACACTCCAAGACTGGGGCAGCAACAGAGAAGGCTTGAACCCAAAATGCCAGCAGATGAATTTGCCTCCTTAGATGATGGCAAACTCCCTCAGATGATCTTAGTAAGCATGGAGGTTCAAACAGAAAAAAGGGTCTTTTCTCAAATAGCTTTGTTAGGTTTTGGTCATAATGACTAGCACTTCATATTTTGCCAAGAAATGAACTGGCATGTTTATATTCTACAGAATAAGTGCAGTGAGACCTATTAGTTTTGCAAAAGTTGTCTTTAATTCAGAAACAGTATGTGCTTTGTATCTGAGCAAAATAAGACAACATACCCAAAGAATGGAGATTCTTAAATGTACAATAGTCATTTTAACTGGTTTAAACTAAATCAAAACCTAAATCCATTTTAATTCTAATCCCTTTGCACTTTAGAAGTGTGTGACTTCCAACATGCCAGTGAAAGGACCACTGTAGATTTGACTTAGAGAAAAATTTGCACACCCCAGTACCAAACCTACATCTTTCTGTCGAAAGATGAATTATGACATCTCCCCCCAGTTTATCAATCCACGCTATACTTACTCCTACAAAAGGTGCCAGCTCTGGAGGGACTGGGAGAGGTTTGGCACCAGGTATAGGGTCCGAGATGATGAGATTTGACTTGGATGTTGACAGAGGTGTAGCCATAATTGAGCCATTGCTGCTGAGGGCCATCTGCTGCATAAGCTGGAGAGCACGGTCTGGGATCTTGTTGGGATCCGAACAAGATTGTTGCCATAATGGGAGCTTCTGTGTCAAGATATCTTTTCCCTGAAAGTTGTCAAAATGAGAGAGAGAGAGAGAGAGAGAGAGAGAGAGAGAGAGAGAGGTCAGAATGTAAGAAAAGGTAGGTAAAATGAGGCCCCGGATTGTGGGGGCAATAAGCTGACTTTGTATAAATATACAAAAGTATGAGGGCTATTGCTTAACGCATTGTAAGCCGCCCTGAGTCTCCAGAGAAGGGCGGTATACAAATCAAATCAAATCAAATAAAAAAAAAAACCCAGATAAGATTTTAATCCAAAAATGGAAGGAAATCAACAAATTCCCAAACATAACTTTCCTGAGAATGGAACTGGTACACTAACTGGCCAATGATTTTTTGATTCTAGGAAAAATTAAACTATTGTAATTTTGTAATTTACATAGATTGACTAGGTTTATTTGCCAGTTATTCAGTTAGAGCAGGAAAAAAGGCTGATTTGGTGTTTGTGTACCACTGCTTTGAAACTGTTCTCTGAGATAAAGCATATCTGAGAAATACAGATAGAATGAGGCTGGGTAAGATTCCATTTTTTCCCTTTTAGGTCCACTGTAAAAGGGGGCAAATCATAAAGGGAGAAAATAATAATATTTTCTATGCTAATCAGTCAATTTTCACTGTTCAAGGTTGGAGGTGTCTTTATGATTGCCTCATGAATCTAAAAGATCTAAAATCTAATAAAACATAAAACAAAAGGAGGAGAGGAGAAGACATGATAGAACAGGTCTAGTCAAAGAGATTCATATATATTAGGCCTGCTACTAGTTAGGACACCAAAAATATACAGCCAAAGAAATGAACTAGACCCAGCTGTGGTAATTTAATTTAAAAAAGAAAACATTTCGTACTTGTCAGTCTCAGGCAACTGCAAGACCCCTTTCTTTCATTCAAATTCACCACAGTGTTATATTAAACTAAGAAACACAGTTAAAAATCACCTCAATCATTGCTTACTTATAGCCCAGATAAACATTTAGCTCTTTTTAAAGGCTATTTATTTTCTTTAGGGTAGACGTAGTGTTAAATATAAAGCAAGAGCTTCTATTTGTGTTGCTGGGCTGCAGCGGCCTCCCTTCCAACTTCACTCCCAAGAACAGTTTCAGCTTGCTTCCCCTTCCAGGAGTTCTGACCTGATTAAGGAAGTTGGAATCTTGGAAGCCTCCATTCACATATAGAACCCTTTAGCATATGCAGCATTTTTAATCTTTTTAAATTTTGCACAGCTGTAAAGGCACAGAATGAACCATGTGATACAAAGAAAATACTCCAATCCTCATAAAATGGGGCCAAGCAAAACTGAAATCCTTCTCAAATGCAAAAGTAGCCAGCTCTATTTTTAAAAATTTAACACAAGTACTACATGTTCATTTTGGGGGGGAAAAAAAAACCCTCAAGAGGAGTGTATAGCCTAAAATAATCACAGGTGAGAACCTCTCTTCTATAGGGAATGTATGTACTCTTCCCGTCTTGACACAGGCAGTACCAAAATGTTGTAACTGAACAACCTGAGAAAGAAAAAGAAACTGGAAAGCCAGGACTTGCACATTAAAACCTCTGTGCATTTCTCTGGCTCCTTCTTCCCACCTCTCAAAAGAGGTATTTTACTCCAGTGGCTGTTCACAAGTTGTTATTCCAGGCACTTTTTCCTTAATTAACCGAGCATGAGTGCTGTCAAGAGAGTGGTTTGACCCAGGGGTGGGATCCTACTGGTTGAACAACCGGTTTGCTGAGCTTCGTGCATGCGCTCTCGCTTCGCTTACCCATGCGCCAGACACACGCTGCACGCGCATGTACAATTTCCATAAAATTGAACTTCCGCATTGCAAACAAGGAAAGGAGCAAGGAAAACAGCTGAGGACAGCCAATTCAATCTGCCGCCCCGATCAGCTGGGCTTCAGAAGCAGAAATAAAGGTCAGTATAACCCGGGGGGCAGGCAGGCGGGCCCACTTTCACAGCAACAGAGAACCAGTTCGCTCTCTGCAGGAAGTGGGAACTACTGGTTCGAGTGAACCAATCCAAACTGGTAGAATCCCACCACTGGTTTGACCTGACACTGTTTTCAGGAATATGTAATTCTGACACAAGCGAAAATATCTAACATCCTGGATGAAAACATTTAGTACTGAGCGCCAAGTGGGAGATCCTTGAGGAAAACGAATGAGCTGGGATATAAGAAAATGCCCAGATTTTCACATCTATCCCTTTCTCTTCACTTGCTCCCTTCTTTCACTGGATGGAAATCACATGGACATGTCTTCCTGAGGGGCAGCCCGTTAAAAAACCCCTTCCACATAAACACATTCAAACCAGGTTACAAGCCTTGCATCCCCAATTTTAATTTCCTGATTAGCAAAATCTTTGTGAGTTGTTCTGAAAAAAAATGTTTGAACGAGAAGCATATAAAACGTGGGTGTTCTGGGGCAAAAGGAATGTTGAAAAAAGACATGTAGCTGGGGGGGAACAACAGATCCTCACAGAAACATTTACCTCAATAAACTCACTCTTTCTCAACAACGCTGCCCAAGCAGAGTGGGCTCACTCTCTCCTTTCTGCTCTCTTAACAACTGAAGGTTCAGCACAACTGTTAGGGGCAAAAGGTAAAGCAGGAAGTAGTACGTGTGAGCTGCTTCTTTAGGAAAAAAACAAAATGAAACCGATTGCTTAGTTCTGCACATTCCCTAGGATGCCCTCAAGGTGCCTAAGCTGCACAGATCAGCTGCTCCACAGCAACCATGCTATCTGAAAGGAGGTCTGAGAATAGCCTTTGGCAGCCCCCAGGTGAGCATAGGCCAGCTGCAGGAGGAGAGACTGTCGCATAATGGCTGCCTGTTATTTGGGTCTTTGAACAGGAACATGAGAAAAGGTTGCGTTTTGCAGAGAAGGCCATTAACTGCTAATGTCACGTAGGTGGAAGAAGCACCTTCCCGTGAAAATGTCAATAATAGCTCCATGGATCATTTTGGTGAGGATCTCTCCCTTTCCTCTCCTCCATGAAAGCACATTAATTGTGTGCATGGAAATAATTCTCCCTATCAGGATGAACAGCAGGAACTTCTTAGCTTCCATTAAAAGAAGAGCTGCTATTCTGGAAAGTCCTGCTGCTTCAATCACTTCTTAATCCCCTGCATTAGTTTCAGTTTTCCCTCTCCACCCCCCCCCCCCAAAAAGCCCTCAAGTCTAGAATCTCTGGGACCAAAGGGCACAAGTAGGAAAACAGTAAAAACAGTCCAGGGGATTCAAAAAATAACAAAAGGTAGGCAAACGTCCCAGCTTTTTAGGTAAAATGGAGATTGGGAGCAAAAGAACGTTCAACGCTTCTCATTTGAAGTAGGAATTTACAGGCAGTTCTTGTTGAAGGACTACTTGTCCAGCAACTGTTCAAAGTTATGATGGTGCTAAACAAGGGGGATCTATGATGGGTCCTCATAGTGTGGCCATTGCAGCATTCCCATGGTCACATCATCGCAGTTTGGACATTTGGCAACTGGCTCATAATTATGATGTCAGAGTGTCCTGCGGTCATGTGATTATTTGCGACCTTCACTTCCAACAAGCAAAGTCAATGGGGAAGCTGGCAAGAAGTTGCAAATGGTGATCATGTGACTGCAGGATGCTGCAACCACACCGGATTCACCTAATAACAGCAACTGAGACTGTCACCACTGCTGTCTTAAGTTGACACAGTCATGTGACACTGTGCTTTACAACCGCATTGCTTAATGACAGAGTTGTTAGTTCCAATTATGTTTGTTAAGCAAGGACTACCTATATTTGAGTTCAGACAAGAAAAACAGTGGCACAAAAAGCAGTTGCGCAGCTTCTTAATTTCTCCTGTTCTATTGGAAGCAGCACACTTTGTATTTATAAGCTCCAGACTGAAGAGCACACAAGGGCCATTGTGCCACTCATATATCACCTGCCAAGAAACAGGCGCACCTGCCCTGTTGGATGCCTAGCTATTATTATGGGAGGGTGAAGAGAGGGTGAAGGAAAGGTAAACATATGTGCTGGTGTCTTCAGGCAGAATATACAGTGCTTCCTGCTTGCATAATGTATGGTTTCTAAGAGAAGGCTGCATCACAGAAAAATTATTATATAGAAAGAATAATGGTGGTGGCTTGCCATGACTCTTGCGTGAATGACAAGATGCACTTTGGTCCCTTCACTAGGACAAACGAACTAAGAACATTGTTTGTTTATGTGCCATCAAGGTGATGTTGACTCTTAGCAACTATCTAGATAAGATTTTCATGACAATCTGTCCCTAACTTGGTTCCTCAGGTTTTCCAATTCTGCTCCAAGTCCATCCAACTTGCTTGCTGGTCATCCTCTTCTTCTCTTTTCTTCCACTTTTCCCAACGTTAGAGCCTTCTCCAGAGGTTGATATTCAGTTGATATTCAAGATAACAGCAAAGCTAAATTTAAGTAGAAGCCCATACTTCCCGGAAGATTATGATGACATTTTGAAGTATCTGTGTGGGTGTTTTGTATATGAGTATGTGAATGTTATAAACCAACACATCCAAACCAAACCATACAAATGGTTTTAATCTGGAATGTAAGAGTGTGTAGTCACATTTCTTGAACAAGTTATAAAACAAGCCACACATGCTTTGGCACAACTCCCATGATCTCAGCATCTAACTGTAAATACCACCAAGATAATCTACTTAATAAAAATGTAAATTAAAAAAAAAAAAACCTCTTCATTGGAGTATTATGACAAAATAACAGCAAGAAAAGAAAATAAATCCACCAGATGAGAGAAAAGAGTGTTCTTCTATTTCTCCATATATATTAGCCTGACATACAATTCTACTTGAAGAGTGTTTGTGACTCACTGAGATTTTGCAGTCCATTTCTTTATTACCTGACTAACTTCAATCTAACCAGTTGGATACTATAGATGAGTTGAGTTATACATGGAGGAAATGCAGAGACAATAATCACACACACACACACACACACACACAGAGCAATAAACCATAAAGGTTTTTTTTTCTCAAACCAATGCCAATAAGAGCCTGCTGATACTAACAGAAGAAATTATTTCACCATTAAGAATAACAGAATAACATTTACACTTCCATGCTCCCTATTTTCCTAACTTTTCTTTTCAGACATGAAAATAAAACACATGTTTTATTTAGAATGACTGAATTTGCATGGGTTGACATGCAATGATATTGTAAGAATATGTAAGATATTCTTCCCCAAGGATTTTGCCACTAGGCAGCAAAGTTGCATTTGAGCTGAATATCTATTACAAATTATGCAGGGCCATCTCCCAAACCTTTGATCTTAATGGACTAGTTTCCTTTGTTTACCCACATAGAAAGTACTACTGGTAGGCACTCTTCCTACACTAATGGCAGGTCCACTATAATAACTATGAGCTAAAGATAACATAGCCATGGATAATTTGAAATAAGGTATTTTGTAATTAATTATAAAGAATGCTTCCCATAGGAAAATTCTTTTATTTTGAATTCTTTAAAAAACATACTACATGACGTTAAAAACTGGGCATTATAGGGAATTAGGAGGAACTAAAGGTTACAATTAAAGGAGATGAACACTTGACTTACTAAAACAGAATGAAGCAAAATATTTTAACACTGGACATATTAAAGGATATTTTTGAACAATGGGCCCAGAAGTTAATTTTAAGTGTCTGCCTCTATAAATAGACTGTGTTTAAAAAGTATTATGGTAGAGAAACAAGTATTACTTTACATGATCGAGACTGATTTGAAAATGGATTTAAAAATGGCAGGCTACAAGAATTATATGGAATTATATGGAAACCAGCTGATGTGTTAATAATTAAAATGGATATTACAAATAACAAACCAAGGGAGTGACCTGGATACTTTTGAATATTGGACTTACAAAACAGGCCTGTTAAAGCTTTGAAGAATTTTGTGAAAAAATCAAGAAAAAATCAAAACAAATCAAGCTCCAGGATATTATTTGAAGGGACTAAAGATCGAAATTGTTAGCAGTAAAAGGAAGGAAAATGGAACTGTTTTTTTTGATCAAGTTTAAAATAGATATTTTATCATCTCTGATTACCTTTAATGGACTTATACTCACATTAGAACTGAAACAAAGAAGCTTTATGGATTTGTTTGGGATATGGGGAAAAATATCATTTATTGCATTTTAAGAGATGATAATTTACTAAAATTGTTTGTACTTGTGATGAAGAGTGAAATCACTTCTTTATATATTTCTGTTTTTCTTTACTATATTCTTATTTTTTCTTTTATGCACCTTCTCTTTTTCTTTTTCGTTGGTATTAATTTGTATTGTTGTAAATTGTAATTGTAATCTTTAATAAAATTACTATTTTTTAAAAAACCTGTATCCCTGGAGTGGTTTAGTTTACTTACTAAGTGCCCCTGCTTACCTTGGAGTGGTACGTAAGAGCATTTTTGGCCACTGCACACTGCTTCTCCACCAGGAAACAAAATCGACGCCTCTCCTCTGTGAGTGCCATCTTGTAACCATCAGATACATAGTTCTCCAGCTCACTTTGTTTATTGGTCATTGCTTCAATAAACTGGAAGAAAAGAGAGAACATACAATATTAGAGGTGAGTAGAAACTAGCACGTTAATCGCAATATGAGCCCACAAGCCTGCCGGTATTCTGAATACAGCAGATTTCTTTGCAAATCTTACATCTATTCCAGCTTCAGAGAAAGGAAGCAGAGAGAAAGAAGTAGGCAGTTGCCTCTTCATCATTACCCTACAAGAATTTCTGAGAGGTTCCTGATTTGATGTTCAGCTGCAGCCTGGACAGCAGGGGGCACTGGGCCACAGAGCATAAGCCTGCTGAGAGAATCTCTCTCCTTCCCCCTCAGTAACATCCATCCTTAGTCATCTGACTTCCCTCACACAAAAGCTCCTGACTCAGTACGTGGGCTTCAGATGTTGTGTGGGTGGCAGAAGAGCAGAGAGATTCTTAGTCTCCCTCCTACTCCCTCTGCACCTGGATAGTGCTAATTCTCTACTGCCTATTGCTATGAATCGACTTCGGTGGCTCACATAAGTTTAAAGGGCCTTCAGAAGGATTTTTGTGTTACACTTTCTCAGTTGAGCTCTCCTTTGTAGGCTACTGAGAATCAGCTTCCCCTGCTCTTTCTGAAAATCATAAGAGGACAGAGGTCCTCCTCAAAGGCCTGCAGGTGATGCAGAGAGGCTTCACGCTGTCCACTTGAACCCGCAACTCCTCTCCTGTGAGAAGATGCAACAAAGAAAAAGAAAACACCCTCTCAAGAGCCCCATATCCCCCTTTAACCAAATAGCATCTCCTCATCTTCAAACTTTGACATAAAGTCATCCACTTAATTCTGCAACCAATGGCCCGAGAAATCCACAATGCAATAAATTTCCTTTCTCACATTCAGGGGTTTCTCTGCACTCAGCACTTCCATGCTCAGTTTCAATAGCCTAAAAGTCTGGAATATCCTAAAGCATTTTAGATGTAAACCTTCATGGCTTTAAAGGTCATTAACTGCAAAAGAGTTAATAGAGCCCGTTCTTTATTGCATACACCAGCCCCTTGAGCAATCACTTGTGCCTGCTTTCTGGATACCCACCCTCCCTCCCTCTCTCCCTCCTCACCCCAAAAGACTCTGCAGGCAGGCTGCTGATGCCATTTCAACAAAGGCTACTGTGAGAAAGGAAAATGCCTTTCCTAAGAGGAAGCCTGTTGCAGGATAAATACATATTAAGGAGCAGCACGTTTTCCTCCCATTAGTATTTATTCAGATGCTACATGTATATAGATTCAAACATATTGTAGCCAATTAAAATAAATACATCAGCTACGAATCCTGTAATTAGATGATGGTCCATTTCTAGCCAAGGACAAAAGCAAGAAAGGCGCAATCTTGAAAAGAAAAATAGCTCTAGGCTATTTTCCTCTGATCATACGCAGTATAAACAAGCCACACTTTTAATTTCGTTTCCAAATCCTTTTCTTTCCTCCAGCATTCCCTGCAGAAGGTGGGTTCCATTCTGAAGTGACAAAGAATTGCTTTTCTTTCTGCCACCTCCTTTATGATATTAATCCAACATGGCTTCCTTTCCACAATAACCATAGAGCTGTCCTTGTATATACTACAATATACAAGATTTTCATCTTTATGGAAAAGAGAAAACAAGGAGGAACTCAGTTTGCTTCCCATGCAGTCATGATCAAGCCACTTAAAGCTTCTTTATATGGAATTAAATCAATTTGTCATAACTTCTATTTAATTACAGAATTAAATAGTCCTCAACTTATGGCCATTTAACAATACTTCATAGTTATGATGGCTTCGGAAAAGGTGATTTACAACCTGTACTCGCACTTGTGACCATTACATCACCCTTCCAGTCATGTGACTGCAATTTGGGGACCTGGCAACCAACTCATATTTATGACCAGTGGCAGCATGATCATGATTTGCTAACTTTTTTTGCTGATTTCCAGAAAAAAACCCACTTATTGGGGAAGCTGGAGTCCCTTAATAACCACAGTGATCTGCTTAATGACCACCATAAAAATGGTAATAAATCAGGTTTGACTTGACTTATGACAACTACTTATGACAGAAATTCCAATCCCAATTGTGGTTGTCAAGAACTACCTGTATGCATTGTAGTGTAAATTCGTTTATATTCATGCTGAATGCCTTTGGAAAATTCTTGTCATTCCCTGTATCATGCTCACAGCATCAAGAGAAAGAGAGAAACCATAAGCTTTTCCCTCTTAATTTATAGGTATAGAGCAGGCCTTTCAAACTGGCGTCCCACGGGCTGGATGCATCATACGCAGGCCACGCCTACCCAGCTCCGCAAAGGCAAAAAACATTGCAATACCTCTAAATTCATCATGTGGTGCAATCAAGTTTGACACCCATGATATAGAGTATATATTTAGGATATGTATTATAGAACATTTACCAACCAAGAGTGCTAATTCAGTCATGAATCCTCTGCTGGATCCACAAAAGATCAGAGGTTCAAACCTCAGCATCTCCAAATAGTGCTGAAAACATAGCCAATCAAAGGAAGCAATACCATGCTAGACAAACACACTGATTCATAGATATCTTATCTGTGAGAGACAAAATAGTGGCATTTCCAAACACACTTTAAGCTATAAACCCTTGCATAAAGTTTGAATTAGCTTGTTTCAAACATCTGAACCTGCTGTTTCAAACAGGTTATGCGATTTGAATTGAGGTTTTACATATCCCCATCACAAGCTTTGTTGGCACTGACTGTTAGGTAAATTTGGCCCTTAAGAAATATTCTGAAATTCCATTTCTTTCCAGGGGGAAAAAAAGGATATGTGCTTCATCAATTGGATTTTATTTCAGGAAGGAATTAACTCCAGCATCCATTTCTCTCTGAGCACCTGCCTATGAGCTGATGTGCCTCCTTTTCAGCTGAAGGGATCCACATCTGCCATTTGTCTCTTCCTGCAGTGCCTTACTGGTACAGATTCTTTGGAACATAACTTTTAATGTCTCTGCAATCACATTAGCAACTTTAACACCTGAGGGGAAATGGCAGAATTGCAAATAAAGGTTCCATTTTAAAAGATTTATTGGGCGATATGAATATTCTATTTTGTCAACTGAGAAGAGAAATGGGAATGAAATGGGAGTACAAAGTATAAAACTTGAGACGTTCTTCCTTAAATTCCCAACACGCTCAGCAGCAGCACACAAACATATGCTATGTTACTTGTTTAAAATAGTGCAATAATTACAATACCAGCCTAAACCTGACAGGACTGTGAACTGCAGACAATAATGCTTGCTTGCTTTCTGTGCCACTTGTCTAAACTCTGGCAACCAGAACTCTTGCATTAAGGCAAGATTTCTTTAAATCAAAGCAATATGTTTTGTTCCTTTCTTCAGCAATGTCTTTGTCCCAGAAGGAAGTCACTCAAGGTGTCATTACCCAATAATCTCACACTTTCCCCCTCTATTTGAAAAAATCTTAAGCTCATTGCTGCCATGGCATACATGGAAGACATGGAAAGCGTAACTGAAAAGTGGCTACTAAAGCCTGCACTCAGCTGCCTGGACAGTAGCCCTCTTAAGCCATCTCTTTTCCCCCAAAGTTTTACTCAAATGAAATAAGATGCCCTATTATGACTACTTTCTCACAAGGGGCAGAAATTATTAGAGCTTTGTTTTCCAACCTTGGGGTTTTTTGGTGGTGGGGGTTACTACAAAGCTGAAAACTCCCAGCCTGTATGATGGGGAATCATGTTGGTTAAGAATTCTGAATATTACAGCCCAATGGTTCTGGGTTATATTATATTGGAAAAGGTACGACCATTTCTTCTGCTGTTAGGTATTCTCCTTTATTACAATGGCTGATATTATAGCTTGGGTTGATATGAAACAATATCACCATATCAAAATAAATGCAAGCAGTTTGAACCTCAAACATTAAAAACATTTCCTTCCCTTGGCAAAGATCTTAAGGAATTTTTTATTTTGAGTTCTGTATTAACAAGAATACTGCTGGAAAAGCTACTGGGGATATGAAGTTAGCTTCACTAGCAGCCATGTCAAACCACAACTTCAAAAAACATTTCTAACTGGAGCTACTAGGGAAGGAGAAATGTGTGTGTGTGTGGGGAGAGAGATTCTCACATAATGCATTGGCTACAGAATGGAAGTGGTTTACCATTGCCTTCGTCCAATTTTGTTTTTGATTTAACTTCCAAGTAGGGATGTGCAAAAGTGTTCCATAGATGGAACAGCTGGTTTTGGGTGGCCTGTGTCTGGATTGAAACAGGCATGTTTTGAACGTTATGGTCCATATACAGAATGAAATGTGATGTTCTTGGCAGAGATGTTGGGATATTAGTGAGGAACAGTCACTGCTAAGGGTTTTCATGGCACAGCATGTGCCTGTGACACATAAAGACAGAGATGAAAACTTTCAAAATTGAAGGCTCTCAATTTATACTGAGGAAAAAAATGTGCCATTTCCAACCTCAAGTGCCTGTTTGTAATCAGAGCAATTCATGCTGTTTTCTCAACCAGGAAATTGGTCAAAAGGAGCATCCTCCTCTATCCTGGACCTAGGTACCTTGTGAGACCTTCACCTTTTTTCTGTACCTGAACGAAACAGCCTTTTCAGCCTACATTGGAATAGTATAGCACTCAGATAAGTTTGAGGATGAAACTAAAGAGATCCTACTGATTACTGTATACCTTTTGCAGCTATCAGCAAACATCAACAGCAAGTTCATGCCATGTCAATTAATCAGTTCTCCATTATGATAAAGTCACTTAAACACTTAGCTCCAGATGCCCAGATACATCAGTATATAAGAAATTCACTAGTAAGGACCATAGGATGCTACAACACAAATATCCTGTGTTCCTGTTCTATCTATACCCAAACAGTAGCTCATGATCTATCTACATTCTCATCTGAGATGTCATGAAAAATATATTTTCCCCATTTTAAAAAAAATATTAGGCCTCCATTTAGGGAATTACACATCCTGGCTGCAATCAACATTTCAAATTGTTGGTTAT